AGTATAACATCACAACATGATTTCACAATAATAATATCAATATAACAATATAATATCACAACATGGCCTAACAATCAATAAACAAACAGATTAGAAAGAGAATATCACCAACCAAAGCACCAAAAAAGATTTAACAGATAGCTTTGTTAAAGGTAAAGTAAACTTACATGGACAAAGCCTTTTCCATTTAATGCTGTGCAAGTTAGTGCGTCTCTGGAGTAAGTTACATGTCTAAAAGCAAAAACAACAACAACAGTGAAACGACAGCAGTTCACTTTGTAATAATAACACTAATAATACAGCGTATAAAATGGATATTGTTTTATAACGTTGCTCAGTAACTTTAAACTGCGTTTGGAGTTTATCGCTTTGAATTTGCCATAAAAACGCTCATTTAGACTAACGTTAAACATGTGACATTACCTTGAGGTTAGCTGCGTCACCGGAGCGCAAACAAGACTAAAAACAAACTGGAAAGTTTTAAATGCTTCAAAATTCGAAACACTACACCAAGTCACATTTAAGATACACTGTGTGTAAAACAAAATCGGGGGGTAAATAAAACATTAAAGCATCTAAAAACACGCTTACCTCTGAATTCTGCTGCACTGCAGGTCAGGTGTTCGTAATTAAGTGAAGTGAAGCGAAGCGCTGCGCGTGGCCGCGTGCGCCGAGTCCTCCGATACCATGGTAACCAAACATGTTGAATATTGGGTGAAGCCATGACGTTAATTCAACATACAGACCATGATAAAAAAAAATGTCAACGTTGATTTGTACAAGGATTTCTGTAACTTTTTTCAACCATTTATCATTCAACATTGTTTCAACATTAAAGCAACAACTGACGTATTTTCAACCACATTTCAACGTTGAAGCCTTGTCATATGCAGGCTGTTTTTCAACCGTTCAACATTAAACGTTCTATCAACATTATTTCAACGTTCAAAACACATCTGACCTTATTTCAACTATATTTCAACGTTGAAGGTCGGTCGTGTGCCGGCTGGGTAGTTAAAGGCTGAATTCGTACGTACAATAACATTAGCATTAACCGACCGATGTAGCTAGCATACATTTGTTAGCAATAAAGGCAAACAAGCTGTCACTGCGATGATATCTATTTATAACCTATGGTTAACCGAAAGCCTCCATATTTGAATCTTAAATGTACATTACAGTGAAAAATCAAACGCTAGGTCACATTATTGTTTTGTTTTGATACCATAGAGTCAATAAACGAACAATTGTACCATTTGAAAAGTGAATATAAAGATAAAAGATAAGGCGAATTTCGGTGACTAGCATGTGACACCTTAATTTTCACTGCATAGAAAAGATGGGCAATTATTGTCTTCGAGTTTTACATATAGTTACTTTGATCTACTCAATGATTTTACTGCGCATGCTCAAAAGGGACAGAATCAATATTTTCCATTAGTAATAATCTCAACAATGACATAATTTGTAACAGAAATCTAATTAATGCCTAAAGAAAAGCTTCAGATATGTAGTTGCTTTCACTGAAGTTTAATAAAAACCTGATATTTAAATTCCATTACAGATTTCAAAAAATTTGTTGTAGTTAGAGTTGTAATATATTTTGACATCAGTAATTACTGCGTTATTGGCAAGAATATAACATTCATATGCTAATAAAATTTTCAATTAATGCAAATAGTTTTTTATTGCATTTTCAGATGTTCTATTTAGTAAAGTTTTAAAATACAGTTGAAGTCAGAATTATTAGCCCCCCTGAATTATTAGCGCCCCTGTTTATTTTTTTCCCAATTTCTGTTTAATGGAGGGAAGATTGTTTCAGCACATTTCTAAGCATAATAGTTTTAAAAACCTATTTCTAAAAACTGATTTATTTTCTCTTTGCCATGATGACAGTAAATAATATTATACTTGATATTTTCCAAGACACTTTTATACAGCTCAAAGTGACATTTTTAAAGGCTCAACTGGGATAAGTAGGCAGGTTAGGGTAATTAGGCACACTGTAAAAAGTGCTACACTCACAAAGTTGGTTCTATCTACTTTAAATAATTGCAATCTAGTTAATTTTATTTGTTTTATACCAAAAAAATTAAATTTGCTTCCTCTTTACTTAAAATATATCAGTTTTTATATAACTGTATATTTTGAATAAAACTAATGCAATTTATTTGAGTAGATTTTTTTACGTGGTTATTGTGTAGAATAAATGTTATAAAAGTGAGTTGACACAGACAATTTATTAGAGCAGCTGTCGATGTGAGCAGGTGTTCATAAAACGTGATTTTTATAGTTTTGCGTGACTCCTTTTTCATTGCCCGGGATTTAGCAGGCAGACGCAGCTTCTGCAATGGTCGACATTAACTGCTCCCAGCAGCGGATCTGATTAACACGGTAAGTTGCAAATTTAGCCGAATGATAATTGTAAAGTCATGCAAAACTGCTGTCTTCGCTAGGCAGGTGAGGTTTTAGCTTTGTAAATTGTACTGTAGGCTCAGGTATGTTAACAGTTAGACTGCTCTCACATGGAAAGCTAAGTTGGCTAACGCTAACCAACGCTAGTTTATGCTAATGATTAAAAGTGATATTATTGAGAAAAAATAGTGAAAGTAGTTTTAAAACACTTAGTAGGTATAACTAACGTTGCAGAACCGATTAACAAGGTCACTGGTGGGCGGTCGGGGTGTGGGGGTTCAGTTTGCTAGCGCTAACTTAGCTAAAGTTAGCTCACCTAAGTTATAGCAGCACATTAAGGATGGATATTAAATGCAGAAACGTATGCAACAGTTAAGTAGTTTGTGTTTAACGTAAGAGAAAGTATAACTTAAAGTTTGTGTTTTAGAGATTTAGTCCATAAGTTTTTTAATGCTGCATAGTGAATAAATTACAGATTTACAATTTATTTTAACTTAAATTACATTTACTACTGATGTTTACAGAACCATTTAAACTGTATGCACCTCATTCTAAAATGCATGTTCTTGGTCTTTAGATACCAAAGTGATTTTGTTACCTGTGGATCTTCAAACTTCACATCCAGGTAAGAAAAACATTAGATACAACTACAGCTATAATTATTTGCAGGCAAGTAAAACATTGGTAAAATTGCAAACAATAGTGGGCTCCATAGAATTAACTTACATTTGATATCTGAAGTGCAACAGTAATTTTTTACTGTTTTTTTTACACAGATATTATGTGTGCAACAGTAAAAACAGTATAAAAATATCCTAATGCAGTTTCTTATTATCTGTCAGTCTTTCAATAAAGCTAACTGATAACACTGAATCACTGAACTGTCATTTGCCAGTGACATTAAATTTGAAGAAAAAGTCAATTAAATGTAGCTTTAGCAAAAATTTAATGTAAACCTTAATGTAATGTGTAAAATGGCAATGTATTTATTTATTTATTTAATAAAATTTGTATTATGACGTGCAAAGTTTGGTGCAAAATGAAGATGACATTTAAATTATAGAACTTGTATTCTATAATTTTCATATAGCCATTTTCAAACAGTTTTAATATCTAAATTAAATACACATTCTTATGCTTTATAAGTTGCCAAAATAAACAAAAAATGTAATACCTAAATTTTAACAATTCTTTGATTGACAGGAAAACACAATGACATGCACTGTTACACTGAGTAAAATCACAGTTTTCTTTAAAATTTGATAACTAAAACACCTGGAATAATGTAATTACACAACCTCTATAACCTTTTTTTATTTTTTAAATAGAAGTTAGGTAATTTTAACTAAGGTAATTTTTAACTGATAAACTAAGGTGTTTCATCCATGCATCATTCTCACTGGACTTTTGTAACTTCACTTGTAGTTATTTCCTATTCAGTATTTAGCTATTTAATGTTGTTTGGTAGCAACCACCTGAACTCCTGTTTCTTTTTGTCTCTACCAATAGAGTTGTGAGGAATCAGAGGTGCATGCGGCTGCCCACGGGAAAAATTTGCCATCAGCCCAACACAGTTTGGATTATCATAGGACTGTCAGAGGTTTGCCAAACCTGTCAAATGCATGATGGCTCCTGTTTGGACTTACCGATGTCCTCGACTTCAAGTATCCATCAAAACTGTATACATTTGAGATATATTAGAGACTCTTTGTGGGACTGGACATTATGCATCCTAAATCTTCATCAAAATATGCAAATCTCCTCACTGAGTTGCCTTGGATGATTTCTCAATAGGATCTGGTATTATTAATGTTTTTATTTATGTATTGTGTATGTGTAGCCACATTAATGGCCTATTTTGTAGTCACTATTAAAAGGAACATCGATTGATATTGAATACATGTTATGGTTTTTAATCCCTCTTCCCATTCTTATTTAATTGTTATTGACAGGAAAGTCTGTTTATCTGTTTTTACTAGTGTATATTGTGCTTACAATATAGAAACAAAGATTTATTTTCTGAGGTTACAGCCAGAAGTCAATTAAATTCGTTTTAAATGACATATGCATGGTTAATTTTATTTAGATCATTAAGTTCATAATACTTAATTAAAATGAGTACAGTCAACATATAGCAATGTATAAGTAAGTTAAGTTTAACAAAAAAAGTAAGTTTATCTGATTTGAGTAATTTTAGAAAAATTAGTTGGCTCAACTTAATTTTATTGCATTTGTTTTAAGCAATGTTTTAGTGTTTAAAATACTTAAAAAAGGCTGGAAGTTGAATCAACCTAAAACGTCCGATGCAACCACTTGCCTCACTTTTTATAAGTTAGATCTAAGTAACATTTTTTACAGTGCAAGTTATTGTATAATGATGGCTTGTTCTGTAGATTATTGGGGGGGAAAATTAGCTTAAAGGGGCTAATAATTTTGTCCCAAAAATGGTTTTTAAAAAATTAAAAACTGCTTTTATTCTAGCCAAAATATAACAAATAAGACTTTCTTCAGAAGAAAAAATATTATCAGACATACTGTGAAAATTTCCTTGCTCTGATAAAAATCATTTGTGAAATATTTAAAAAAAGAAAAAAATCAAAAGGGGGCTAATAATTCTGACTTAAACTGTATATGAATAAAATCTAATTTCAGATATACAGTAATGATATAGGTATAGTTACTCATCCACACAATCACGTGCCCACCTAACATGAAGAAACCTGAAAAACTGTTTGTTTTCCAACTGAAATAAATATAAATATAAAAATGTATATTAAATATTAAAAAAATGTTTAACACATCTTTAATTTAATTACAACACTAACTTTAAAAAATTAATCAAGAATATGTGAGACAATTAAATTCTAAACAGTGATACTGTAACTTATAAGGAAAATTGGTGTGTCTCAGACCCAACCATAGTGGAGTATGTAGGAGCCGTTAAAATAAAAATAAACAAAAAACATTTTGGTTAAAGAATACAGTTGATTTGCTCCGTGGAACATCAACACCTGTTCTTTGTGCGTTTGTCAGTTAAATAAAAATTAAAGAGTATCACCATGTTTTTATTTCATTTATTACATTTTATCCATCTTGGGCTCAGTTATGTTAAAGAAAATGGATAAGTGGATTCAAACATCCAGAATTGTTAAAAATGGCCGAAACAAGAGAGGAGCCAGAAAGTAAGCAAAGTGAAAAAAAGTGATCTTTGAACCCCTAAGCACTTTGTTGAAGATAGTCAGATAACAGTGAAGATTATAAGGGTAGAGTGAGTCTCTCGGTGGAAAATCTACACACTGAAAATGTGTCAGTGACGTAGCCAAATCACAGAGAGGTCTATAAATGTGAAGTCGTTCATAGATGGGAAATAACATATTTTTCTTCATAGCTGCAGGTTTCAGTACTTACACTAGTTAAGATACTAATTGTTGCACCAAATGGTTGACTATTTATACATCAATATAATGTATTGTTTAATTTAGACACTTCAGATAGATACACATATTGTATTTTAATAAGCCTGTCCATGAATTAGCTGCATGCTTCAAAGCAATTTGTATGCTTTTTGACACCAATGTCCTTGTAGGCTGTAACTAGCACATTACAAAAAGAAAGTGATGATAAATATGTAGTGGTGATGGGGATTTCACAGTAGATGGATTTCTTATGAGAGTTTTCTAGGAGAAAAAACAAAAAGGGAGGGTGATGGGAGATGAGTGTGAATTACAGAGACTCCCAGGAGAAATGTTAGTATTGAAAGGCATGTTAAGTGTTTGTTATGGTCTTAAACCGGTCACCACAAACAAGGAGAAGACGAGTGCATTTGGAGCGACAGTTTCTGAAAAATTCTTACAAAAACTCCACCATCCCAAGAAAAAGCATAAATTATCGCTTGGTGCATGGTGGAGGATATTTGATGTTTGTTGTTCTGACTTCATGTTGATGTTTAGTTGTGTTGATTCATGTTAATAAGCTGAAGAATGACATGTTCACTCTTAATGATTGTGTCTTTAGTGAGTGCTCGCATCCTTCTTGAGTCCAGTGACTCAGGGTATATAAACTGCATTTGCTGTTATGTACTGATAATATAAATATTTTAGCAATATATTACTAGAAATAAAAACAGTATGTGGCTATTTCTGGTACAGTATTAACATAGTAAATATTCACAGCAAGAATAGAGTCCTCTTACTGTTTTACATAAGACTATAAATAAAGTCAGATTAAGAAGATGTAAAGCTACACTGCAAAATAATGTTCCTCTGACTAATTTTATTTGCTCCTTTTCAATTTTAGATCAGTTTGCTGATTTAAAAGCTCTCAACATGCGTAAGATGCTCAACATATTTTTCTTTTCTTGTTCAGCAGTGAATAGTGAATTGTGTAAATGATCTTTGACGCTTGTTGTTCTGACTTCATGTTGATGTTTAGTTGTGTTGATTCATGTTAATAAGCTGAAGAATGACATGTTCACTCTTGATGATTGTGTCTACAGTGATTTGCGACTTTCTTGAGTCCAGGGGGCTATTTCTTAAAAGTGCATAATAAAAGCGGGGATTAAAGTCAAAAGCCTGACTTCAATGAGCTAAAATAAACGTCCACGCTTAAACTGGTTCCAAAACAGCAAGCTGAAGATCATTTGATCTGACTAGTCTCAGTTCAGTTTAAATAATCTAGATAACTGCTCAAGCACGTTTCTGTGGTGAAACTTTAAAAGTTGAGCATAGATACATCGATGATGTTGTGCACTACCATGGCAACTTCGAGAACTGAAAGAGCTCTGAAATGAGACACAGCTGTTCACAGCGAGTGAGCTGCGAAACTGCAGATTGTTCAATAGCCTACATTTGTAGCAAAAATATTTTTTTAATATAGGCTATTATTTAGGCCTATTAACATTAAATTAAATATTTGTTATGATACGTAGTAATTGTGCTTGACCGTGCACATGTGCGTGAGAGAGAGAGGATTTGCTCTTACTGCCAATTGTTGCTTGCAAGGAACAGTTTTAATGCATTGCAGGCTCACTGTAACGTACAAAGTGTTTTAAATGTAAGTACATAGGTTTAAAATAAACAAAGAGCCGTCCACGCACAAGCAGTGGGATTTTTAATTTGCTCCCGAATCTGCTGCAAATTGTTGCTTTCCCTTTGCCACTTGTTTACCGCAGCCCGTGGGAAAATATCTTTACAGTGAGGCTACTACTCAGCACCGATTATCTCTTGATTATTCCACTCATTTTATAGCTTTAAAGTCATTATTTAAGAAATGTAATCTTCTTTAAATTAGTCAGTGTCTTTCTTAGCCCTGTGCTTGCGTGGGTTTCCTCCAGGTGCTCCGGTTTCCCCCAAAGACATGCTGCATGCGCTATAGATGAATTGAATATGCTAAATTGGCCATAGTGTAGGAATGTGAATGATATGTATGGATGTTTCCCATAGATGGGTTGCAGCTGGAAAGGCGTCCGCTGCACAAATCATATGCTGTATAAGTTGGCCGTTCATTGCGCTGTGGCAACCCCACATTAATAAAGGCACTAAGCCACAAAAAAATCATATATATATATATATATATATATATATATATATATATATATATAGAGAGAGAGAGAGAGAGAGAGAGAGAGAGAGAGAGAGAGAGAGAGAGAGAAAGCTAAGAACATCCCTCACAGATCTCTTTTAAATTAATATTTTCTACAGGAAGCTTTACAATAATATATTTGTGCATATACATTAGATTTTGCAGTACCAATGCAAAGTTTGGAATATATATGTATACCCTTTTTTTTTCTTTTTTTTTGCTTTTAAGTGACTATAAAGTTTTGATCATTATTAAGAGGTTAAGTAAATTAAAATGGCATAAAATTATGGCAGGTTAATGTTAATATTACCTTCATTAAGCTTGAACTTAAGACTTAGCCTGCCCCTGACCAGGCTTGCCAGCATAAGTTGCCAAGGTAACTAAGTTTGAACTATCGTAAATTTAATTTATGAAACCGAATCCGCCATTAATAAACCTGACTTACCCAAATAAGCCTGGCTTTTTCTGTAAGCTTGGTTTATGGAATAGCCCCCAGGTACTCAGGTGGGTGTATTAAATGCATTTGCTGTTATGTGTTTATAATATAAATATTTAGGAATATATATTAAGGAATATATTACTAGAAATAAAAACAGTATGTAGTGATGTCTGGTATAGTTCTTTACCTAGTTAATATTTGTTAAAAAGAATGGAGTCCTCTTGCTGTTTTACATAAGAAAGACTATAAATAAAGTCAAATTAAGAAGGTGTAAAGCTACACTGCAATAAAATGTTCTTCTGACTGATTTTGTTTGCTGCTTTTCAATTTTAGATCTGTGGGCTGAGTTTGAAGCTCTCAACATGAGTAAGATGCTCAACATATTTTTCTTTACTTGATCAGCAGTGAATAGTGAATTGTGTAAATGATGTTGATGTTGTTTTGTGTTAATGAGCTAGAAAATATTAATTTTATATTTAGCAATAAATATGTTGGCAATAAATAACTAGAAATAAAAACAAAATGGTGCAATGTGTTGCTGGTACAGTACTTCACACACAGTGGGGATTGAAAGTTTGAGCACCCCAGGTAAATATTAGTAATAATGTACATAAAGAAGCCAAGGAAAGATGGAGAATTCTCTTAAAGGCATCAAATTACAGATTAGACATTCTTATAATGCCAAAAAAAGTTTGATTTCCATCATTTACACTTTTAAAATGACAGAAAACAAAAAAATCATGTCTGCAAAAGTTTGGGCACCCTGCAGAGTTTACAGCATGCACTGCCCCGTGGTCAAGTATCACAACTTGTAAATGCTTTTTGTAGCCAGCCAAGAGTCTTTCCATTCTTATTTGAGGTATCTTTGCCCATTCTTCCTTACAAAAGTCTTCCAGTTCTTTGAGATTTCTGGCCTGTCTGTCACGCACTGCTCTTTAAAGGTCTATCCATGGATTTTCAATTATGTTGAGGTCAGGAGATTGTGAAGGTCATGGCAAAACCTTCAGTTTGCTCCTCTTGATGTAATCCACTGTGGATTTTGAGGTGTGTTTAGGATCATTATCCATTTGTTGAAGCCATCCTCTCTTTAACTTCTGCTCTTTCACAGATAACATCAAGTTACCATTAAACATTTGCTAAAATTTGATTAAATCCATTTTTCCTTCTACTGGTGAAATGTTCCCTGTGCCACTGGCTGCAATACAATCCCAAAGCTTGATTGATCCACTGCCGTGGTTAACAGTTGGACAGAGGTTCTTGTCATTCAATTTTGTGCCCTTCCTTCTCCAAACGTACCTTTGCTCATTCTGGCCACTAAAGTTCTATTTTAACCTCATTGGTCCACAGAACTTGTTTCCAAAATGCATCAGGCTCGTCTAAATGTTCATTTGCGAAGTTCAAATGCTGATTTTTGTGGTGAGGATGTAGAAGAGGTTTTCTTCTGATGACTCTTCCATAAAGACCATATTTGTACAGGGATCTCTTTATAGTGGAATAGTGTCCCACAGCTCCAGTGTCTGCCAGATCTTTCTGGAGGGCTTATGCGGTCAAAAGTGGGTTTTGACTTGCTTTTCTCACAATCCTGCCAGCTGCTGGTCTTCCAGATCCTACTTTAACTTCCACTGTTCCTGATGACTGCCATTTCTTAATTACATTCTGAACAGAGGATATTGTCATCTGAAAACGCTTTGCTATCTTCTCATAGCCTTCTCCTGCTTTGTTAGCATCAACTATTTTCAGTTTTTTGTTTTCTACACAACTGCTTGGAAGAAGCCATGGTGTTGATTGTTGGGGCAAGGTCAGATGAGTCTGGGCATTTATAACCTTTGAGATTGACATCACCTGGTGTTTCCAGACACTGATTGAGAAAAATCCATGACATTGTCAGGACTCAGATTTCCAAAGAGTGCAGTGCATGCTGTAAACTCTGCAGGGTGCCCAAACTTTTGCAGACGTGATTTTTTTTTTGTTTTCTGTTGTTTTGAAAGTGTAAATGATGGAAGTAAAATCAAACTTTTTTGACATTAAGAATGTCTAATCTGTAATTTGATGCCTTTTGGAGAATTGTCCATCTTTCCTTGGCTTCTTTATGCACATTAATACTGATATTTACCTGGGGTGCTCAAACTTTCGATCCCCACTGTATTAACAAAAGAGTAATTGGATCCTTTTGATGTATTGAATAACTAAGGCTTAAAATAAATTCAAATTGAAAAGGTGTAAAGCTACTCTGCAAAAAATGTTCCTTGGATTTATTTATTTATTTATTGCTGCTTTTCAATTTTAGATCTCAGACGTGGTGATGATGGATATCGCCCCTTTAGTAAGATCCTCAACATATTTTTCTTTTTTACTTGAACAGTAGTGAAATGTGAATTATGGCTTAAACATGTACACATTGCTTAAAACACACAGGATGTACAGCAATACACAAATATCTTTACAGATGAAAATTAAAGGATTCAACTTATACAAAAAAATTCTACATAATTATAAAAATGACTACCTCCATGCCTTCATCTCAGGCAGCTTTTTTAATTTATTTATTTTTTATTTATGTAGGGGATCAATCTACCTTATAAGATCCGTCAGGGCAGGGCAGTGCATGCTGTAAACTCTGCAGGGTGCCCAAACTTTTGCAGATGTGATTTTTTTTGTTTTCTGTTGTTTTGTAAGAGTAAATGATGGAAATAATTTTTTTTTTTAAACTTTTTTTTTGACAGTGGTGGATTTGACAGATGTATTTCTTATGGGAGTTTTCTGGGAGAAATAACAAAAAGCAGGGTGGCAGGAGATGGGTGTTAATTACCGGAGACTCCCAGGAGAAATGTTAGTATTGGCAGGCATGGTTATGTGCTTATATGTAAATGTTTTAGCAATATATTACTAGAAACGGTATGTTGCATGAGTTAGATGCTCAACATATGTTTGAGTCCTCTTTCTGTATTGCATAACTGAGACTATAAATAAAGTCAGATTAAGAAGGCAAAATAATGTTCCTCTGACTGATTTTGTTTGCTGCATTTCAATTTTAGAACCGTTTATTGTGTTCAAAGCTATCACCACAAGTAAGATGCTCAACATATTTTTCTTTTCTTGTTCAGCAGTAAATAGTGAATTGTGTAAATGATCTTTGATTTGTTGTTCTGACTTCATGTTGATGTTTAGTTGTGTTGATTCATGTTAATAATCTGAAGAATGACATGTTCACTCTTAATGATTGTGTCTACAGAGATCTACAGCCCTCTTAAGTTCTATGGCTTAGGTAGGTGTGTAAGCTGCATACATTTTCTGTTATGTACTAATTATATATATATATATACACACACACACACACACACACACACACACACATATATATATATATATATATATATATATATATATATATACATATATATATATATATATATATATATATATATATATATATATATATATATATATATATATATATATATATATATATTATTATTAAATCACTTATAATAAAAACAGTATGTTGCTATTTACAACTTTACATAGTAAATATTCATGGCAAGAATGGAGTTCTTTTGCTGTTTTACATAACTAAGACTATAAATGAAGTCAAATTGACAAAGTGTAAAGCAAAACGGGGCATAAAAATAACAACAAAAAAAAGCAATCAGTTCACTATGAGCAGAATTGATATTTTTTCATTTCTGTTCTTGCGTTCCTTAATAAAGAAAATATTCGGAAAACGGTTTTCTAAAAAAAAAAAAAAAAAAAAAAACGGTTAAGAAAGTTATTTTAATACAAAGTATTGCAGGACTCTAGAGTGCCCTGATTTCATAATGGTGCAACTATCGAATGAATATTCGATAAGTATCATTAAAGAAATATTTATGATGTAAACTTACTTTTGGTTTTATTTATACCGGCTTTGCACACTTATGCGTGCTCTCGCTCACCTGCAGCAGTTGATTGACACGCTGCTTAAAGGCGCTATACACACAGCCCCACTCCTCGGTATCCAGCGCAGGCCCGGCGCTACAGTTAGATGTTATATAATATGAAATAGCAATTAAATTATGAAAATTGTGAGATTAAAGCTAGGCCTAGTAATACTTCCCTTATAATTAATAATTTTGTTGTTTAAAATGATTTAATTGGTGTTGCAGCATTATGAGCTTTAACACAGAACTTATAAATAACACCTTATACATAATTTCCAACAACTCATATTCCAACAGCTTTCATTTATTCCATTCTTTTTTGCTAAATATTATTGAAAACAAACCTAATATTGTATTATCATGTATACAACATACAGTAAATATAAATATTTCCTCCAGTAAATATGATAACAAATAAATAACAAGTCTAGTATATCCAGATGCATCAGAATAATGTAGCTACTAGCTAACAATGTTTATATATTATACTTTATACTATACTACGCCTATCTTATTTGCCTCAGAGCTAACTTACCTGAACTGTTTCTATCAAATGTCCAATCTGCATCCTTCTCATGGTCACTTAAACCCATCTCACCCTCACTTTCATCTGGAGGAAGAGTCAGTTCTGTCCTTTTCTTGATTCACTTACCATAGAACAGGGGTCAGGAACCTTTTTTCAGCAAAGAGCCATTTCTAATTTTTTTTTGCCAAATGCATTTAAGAGCCATTGGGGATATACACGCATCACATGTCGAGCAAGTCCATCAATTAAGAAAGGTTAATTTATAGAATTGTTTTCTTTTCAAGGTAATTGTATTTTTAATAGGAAAGGATTTTTAGTGACAGTTTAAATTTTTTATTTAAGGTAGTCAGGTGGAGAGCCACATAATTTTGGTCAAAGAGCCACACGTGGCTCGCGAGCCATAGGTTCCCTATCCCTGCCATAGAACATGGAGGTGCCTGCTAATACACTGTTCTCTGTATTCATATCTGTTCAAAATTAATATTGCCAATAAAACTAGATTTTATCCATAATGCAAATGCCATCAACATATGATTAATCAACATTATATTACTAGCTTTCATGTTCTTGTTGTTGCTAGCTTGCTAACCCATTGCAATATTGCACATTCCACTATTGTACAGTGTTGCCATTTGGCAACAAAATCATTTGGTCAATTTGCAAAAAACTAATTTAAACTAAGTTTAATTTTTTGACTTGTGAATATGTCATCATATCTTACTGGAGGTGATTTTTCAGATTTTTTTTGTAGATCTGTAATAATTTAATCCATTGTTTTTATTGATGTTTACATTTGCATTCAGCAACTACTTATAATAAATGCCAGTCTGTCACAAGTCGTGCTACAGAAAACACAGCAGGTAATGAGACTAAAGCACACCATTGGCTACTCAAAGGTCTTCTCTTTCAAAACAAAAATGTTGATCTTAAAGAAGCAGTGGCAGGGAATTCAACATGAGTATCATGTTGCCATATGGTGACACCGTGCAGTAGAGGGTTAAATAGTATAAGCTGCTATTAATATTAAAACAAATGACAAACTAGCCACCTTTAGATTTTATTTCGTTGCCGTATATTTTTATCAAATGAAGAATGCAATAAGTTGTAATTTGGTTTTAATATTATTGGAAATTTAATAGCCGTTTAGGCAACATTAGCCTACTTCTACATAACATTGGCTCTGATTGTGTTTTTACAGATAACCTATTTACAAAGATTTTTCTTAAACAAGTGCACTACCACAAGATATTCTTGTAGGTGTAAAAATCTAAAAAGTATCATTCTCATATTCTTGCCTTATTTGTCTTTAATATAGCGTAAATATAAAATTGTATACATTCATTGCATTGCGTTGTGCACCGAAAAAAGACGCACCAAGGAAAAAGTTCGTCTAGAGCCCTGTATTGGATAGATTAAGTGATAGATTGTGTGTGCATTTTAATAACATTGACACTACTTTTACGATTCATTAAACTAGGGATGCTAACGATTACTCGATTAATTTTACTGTCGGTAACCCTTTAGAACTGAAAGACCTTATTGATGACCGAGCATGGGCAAGTTGTGCTTTGCGCTGTGAGACGCATCCCCGATTTCACACATTACATAATCAAGTGTGTACAGTTTGGAGTCGTTTGCGTTACCTCACCTTTACGTTCCCTCTCTTGACTGCATATAGGGGACACATAAAACCCTGTTATGCACAGATCTTGTTTTTGTCCGCTGGTGCTGCCGTTAATCCGTGGGTCAAGTAATCAAAAAGTAGGCTACATGACGTGTAGTTATGGACAGGTTAATAAGACCAAACATTGGTTGTGCAAACTTTATTATTAAATATTGAAGTTTTTCAAGCTATATTGTCTTTTTATATACTGGCATAGGCCTAAATATGCATCACGGGCAGACATTTATAGTTTATATAAAAACGAGCTCTTACCTCTTTTTACTGTGATCATTATGAGGATCATATTGCATATTCAGTTAATTCTTCAGTAGCCTTGTAAATAATGTATTTTATTAATAGATTGTTAATTAGGACTAAGCTATTAAATGCTGTAATTCTCCAAGAGGAAAATGTTTGAGTGGTTGGATAATATATCATTCAGTCTTTATGCATCATGTTTATGATCTGCCCCTCATCCTTCAATAATACAGATCGATTTATCAGATGGTTTGTCATAAGAAAAATGTTAACAAAAGAATTTTCTTTATGGAGACCCATTTAAAAACAATCGACAATTAATAATTCATTTAGTATAAATACTGTACAAGTTTTAGTAACAATAACTGAAACCGAAACATGCATGAAAGAGGTTCTCTGTAACCTTTAAGACAAGCTCCTCGCATCAGAAACGACTTTCGCTTATGATGTTTGCTTTGTGGGCATTTCACATTGTATGCTCACCGTCGCATTTGTACACATGCTTTAAATGAATGCTTGTGTCCCGAATTCATATAATAAAGAGAACGATAAAATAACGTTGTTAACCGTTTAACTGTAAACATTTCTGTTCAGAACCATTAAAGATTTTTTTTCCTTTTTCCATTTCTGTTTCTGAAAAATGTTATTCGTTTTCGTTTTTTGTTTCCATTCCTTGAACCGGTTCGAAGCCCTAATGCAAAATAATGTTCTTCTGACTAATTTTTTTGCTCAATTTTAGGTCTGAGGGCTATTATAGAAGCAGCTCGCACCAAGAGTAAGATGCTCAACATATTTTTCTTTTCTTGTTCAGCAATGAATAGTGAATTGTGTAAATGATCTTTGACGTTTGTTGTTCTGACTTCATGTTGATGTTTAGTTGTGTTGATTCATGTTAATAAGCTGAAGAATGACATGTTCACTCTTAATGATTGTGTCTACAGGGAGTGATGACGGCTTTCGTGAGTCATGGGACTCAGGTAGGTGTATAAGATTCATACATTTGCTGTTATGTACTGATAAATACATTTATTTTATATTTAGCAATAAATATGTTGGCAATAAATCACTTAAATAAAAACAAAATGGTGCAATGTGTTGCTGGTACAGTACTTCACACACAGTGGGGATTGAAAGTTTGAGCATCCCAGGTAAATATTACTATTAATGTGCATAAAGAAGCCAAGGAAAGATAGAAAAATCTTCAAAAGGCATCAAATTACAGATTAGACATTCTTATAATGTCAAAAAAAGTTTGATTTTATTTCCATCATTTACACTTTCAAAACAACAGAAAACAAAAAATGGCGTCTGCAAAAGTTTGGGCACCCTGCAGAGTTTACAGCATGCACTGCCCTGTGGTCAAGTATCACAACTTGTAAACTTGGATTTTTCAATTATGTTGAGGTCAGGAGATTGTGAAGGTCATGGCAAAACCTTCAGTTTGCTCCTCTTGATGTAATCCACTGTGGATTTTGAGGTGTGTTTAGGATCATTATCCATTTGTTGAAGCCATCCTCTCTTTAACTTCTGCTCTTTCACAGATAACATCAAGTTACCATTAAACATTTGCTAAAATTTGATTAAATCCATTTTTCCTTCTACTGGTGAAATGTTCCCTGTGCCACTGGCTGCAATACAATCCCAAAGCTTGATTGATCCACTGCCGTGGTTAACAGTTGGACAGAGGTTCTTGTCATTCAATTTTGTGCCCTTCCTTCTCCAAACGTACCTTTGCTCATTCTGGCCACTAAAGTTCTATTTTAACCTCATTGGTCCACAGAACTTGTTTCCAAAATGCATCAGGCTCGTCTAAATGTTCATTTGCGAAGTTCAAATGCTGATTTTTGTGGTGAGGATGTAGAAGAGGTTTTCTTCTGATGACTCTTCCATAAAGACCATATTTGTACAGGGATCTCTTTATAGTGGAATAGTGTCCCACAGCTCCAGTGTCTGCCAGATCTTTCTGGAGGGCTTATGCGGTCAAAAGTGGGTTTTGACTTGCTTTTCTCACAATCCTGCCAGCTGCTGGTCTTCCAGATCCTACTTTAACTTCCACTGTTCCTGATGACTGCCATTTCTTAATTACATTCTGAACAGAGGATATTGTCATCTGAAAACGCTTTGCTATCTTCTCATAGCCTTCTCCTGCTTTGTTAGCATCAACTATTTTCAGTTTTTTGTTTTCTACACAACTGCTTGGAAGAAGCCATGGTGTTGATTGTTGGGGCAAGGTCAGATGAGTCTGGGCATTTATAACCTTTGAGATTGACATCACCTGGTGTTTCCAGACACTGATTGAGAAAAATCCATGACATTGTCAGGACTCAGATTTCCAAAGAGTGCAGTGCATGCTGTAAACTCTGCAGGGTGCCCAAACTTTTGCAGACGTGATTTTTTTTTTGTTTTCTGTTGTTTTGAAAGTGTAAATGATGGAAGTAAAATCAAACTTTTTTGACATTAAGAATGTCTAATCTGTAATTTGATGCCTTTTGGAGAATTGTCCATCTTTCCTTGGCTTCTTTATGCACATTAATACTGATATTTACCTGGGGTGCTCAAACTTTCGATCCCCACTGTATTAACAAAAGAGTAATTGGATCCTTTTGATGTATTGAATAACTAAGGCTTAAAATAAATTCAAATTGAAAAGGTGTAAAGCTACTCTGCAAAAAATGTTCCTTGGATTTATTTATTTATTTATTGCTGCTTTTCAATTTTAGATCTCAGACGTGGTGATGATGGATATCGCCCCTTTAGTAAGATCCTCAACATATTTTTCTTTTTTACTTGAACAGTAGTGAAATGTGAATTATGGCTTAAACATGTACACATTGCTTAAAACACACAGGATGTACAGCAATACACAAATATCTTTACAGATGAAAATTAAAGGATTCAACTTATACAAAAAAATTCTACATAATTATAAAAATGACTACCTCCATGCCTTCATCTCAGGCAGCTTTTTTAATTTATTTATTTTTTATTTATGTAGGGGATCAATCTACCTTATAAGATCCGTCAGGGATTAAATCAGATTAAAAGATTCACACTTTATCTATTTGTCCCGCAAATAGAAGACATCGTATCTTACCAATCTTGTTAATATTATTCATGTGGCCAGCGATAATACCTTAAAACAGTATTGGGTTAACTTTTAGCAAGGTAACAACATTTACAGATTAAAGCAGTGACTTAGAAGCACATAAATAAGAACACAGTGTTTACAAAATCAGAACGAAGATATATTGTACTTTATTTTGCCTGTCCTGTTTTAGCTGCATGCTTGTTTGCTTTTTGTCATACTTGTATGCTGTAACCAGCACATAGAAAATGATGATAAGGATGCAGGATGATGATAAGGTGACAGTGGTGGATTTGACAGGTGTATTTCTTATGGGAGTTTTCTGGGAGAAATAACAAAATGATGCTCATGAGTTAGATGCTCAACATATGTTTGAGTCCTCTTTCTGTATTGCATAACTGAGACTATAAATAAAGTCAGATTAAGAAGATGTAAAGCTACACTGCAAAATAATGTTCCTCTGACTGATTTTGTTTGCTGCTTTTCAATTTTAGGTCTGAGGGCTGATAGGAAAAAAGTTCGGATCAAGAGTAAGATGCTCAACATATTTTTCTTTTCTTGTTCAGCAGTGAATAGTGAATTGTGTAAATGATCTTTGACGTTTGTTGTTCTGACTTCATGTTGATGTTTAGTTGTGTTGATTCATGTTAATAAGCTAAAGAATGACATGTTCACTCTTTATGATTGTGTCTTTAGTGAGTGCTCGCATCCTTCTTGAGTCCAGTGACTCAGGGTGTATAAGCTGCATTTGCTGTTATGTACTGATAATATAAATAAATAATTTAGCAATATATTACTAGAAATAAAAACATTATGTTGCAATTTCTGGTACAGTATTACCATAGTAAATATTAACAAAAAAGAATGTAGTCCTCTTGCTGTTTTTCATACCAAAGATTATAAATAAATTCAGATTAAGAAGATGTAAAGCTACACTGCAAAATAATGTTCCTCTGACTGATTTTGTTTGCTGCTTTTCAATTTTAGGTCTGAGGGCTGATAGGAAAGAAGTTCGGATCAATAGTAAGATGCTCAACATATTTTTCTTTTCTTGTTCAGCAGTGAATAGTGAATTGTGTAAATGATCTTTGACGCTTGTTGTTCTGACTTCATGTTGATGTTTAGTTGTGTTGATTCATGTTAATAATCTAAAGAATGACATGTTCACTCTTGATGATTGTGTCTTTAGTGAGTGCTCGCATCCTTCTTGAGTCCAGTGACTCAGGGTGTATAAGCTGCATTTGCTGTTATGTACTGATAATATAAATAAATAATTTAGCAATATATTACTAGAAATAAAAACATTATGTTGCAATTTCTGGTACAGTATTACCATAGTAAATATTAACAAAAAAGAATGTAGTCCTCTTGCTGTTTTTCATACCAAAGATTATAAATAAATTCAGATTAAGAAGGTGTAAAGCTACACTGCAAAATAATGTTCCTCTGACTGATTTTGTTTGCTGCTTTTCAATTTTAGGTCTGAGGGCTATTATGGAAGCAGCTCCCACCAAGAGTGAGATACTCAACATATTTTTCTTTTCTTGTTCAGCAATGAATAGTGAATTGTGTAAATGATCATTGACTTTTGTTGTTCTGACTTCATGTTGATGTTTAGTTGTGTTGATTCATGTTAATAAGCTGAAGAATGACATGTTCACTCTTAATGATTGTGTCTACAGGGAGTTATAACTGCTTTCGTAGGTCCAGGTACTCAGGTGGGTGTATAAGCTGCATTTGCTGTTATGCACTGATAATATAAACAAATATTTAGCAATATATTACTAGCAATAAAAAACAGTATGTTGTGATGTCCGCTACAGTACTTTACATAGTAAAATGAATGGAGTCCTCTTGCTGTTTTTCATAACAAAGACTTTAAATAAAGTCAGATTAAGAAGCTACACTGCAAAATAATGTTCTCCTGACTGATTTTGTTTGCTGCTTTTCAATTTTAGAATGGCTGACTGAGGAAACAGCTAGCACCAAAAGTAAGCATACATTTTCTGTTATGTACTAATAATATATATATATATATATATATATATATATATATATATATATATATATATATATATATATTAGCATTAAATCACTTATAATAAAAACAGTATGTTGCTATTTACAACTTTACATAGTAAATATTCATGGCAAGAATGGAGTTCTTTTGCTGTTTTACATAACTAAGACTATAAATGAAGTCAAATTGATAAAGTGTAAAGCTACAGTGCAAAACGGGGCATAAAAATAACAACAAAAAAAAGCAATCAGTTCACTATGAGCAGAATTGATATTTTTTCATTTCTGTTCTTGCGTTCCTTAATAAAGAAAATATTCGGAAAACGGTTTTCTAAAAAAAAAAAAAAACGGTTAAGAAAGTTATTTTAATACAAAGTATTGCAGGACTCTAGAGTGCCCTGATTTCATAATGGTGCAACCATCGAATGAATATTCGATAAGTATCATTAAAGAAATATTTATGATGTAAACTTACTTTTGGTTTTATTTATACCGGCTTTGCACACTTATGCGTGCTCTCGCTCACCGGCAGCTGTTGATTGACACGCTGCTTAAAGGCGCTATACACACAGCCCCACTCCTCGGTATCAAGCGCAGGCCCGGCGCTACAGTTAGATGTTATATAATATGAAATAGCAATTAAATTATGAAAATTGTGAGATTAAAGCTAGGCCTAGAGTCCAGAGATCTGGTCAGATGCGCCCGTAAATAGTGTATATGGCGTATAAAACGCGCACACAGCGGCACACTCAACTCACACGGGAGAAAACTGGACTAGTAGATGACATGAGGTGAGCAGCCTAATTTATTAAATGTTTTGGTTAACTAATTCTTTAAATACAACTCTCTTGAGCTCTAAAGGGTAAAAACGCAGAAGAAATTTGCCGTTAATTTGAGCAAAAACACAACTGCTAGTCATCTTCACATTAGTTTTTCAGTTATGTAGCCTAATAAAAATGTTTAGTACACTGCACAGTGCAATTATTTAAATTTACTATATGAATTAATTATAATATTATTAAAATTGACAAAACGCTTTTGAATGTTTGCTTTCATTTTGACATGAAAATACTTTTACAGTTTTGCAAATAAAGGTACCCATTATGCAGCAGCAGTCAAGTTAGGACACTTAAAAATGCCTTTTGCGTTTAAAGATGAACGGCCTGCGAAGTCAAGTTTACATTGTTATAAATGAAATAGATAAAGCCTAGTGCGTGAGTAAGTGGATTTGCCGCGGATCCACCTCTTTTGGAGATCTTTCCATCTTTCTTTGGCCTCTTTATGCACATTAATACTAATATTTACCTGTGATACTCAAAACTTCGCTCCCCACTGTAGTAGATATTAACAATAAATAGTCCTCTTGATGTATTGATTAACTAAGGCTTTAAATAGAGTCCAATTGAAAAGGTGTAAAGCTACTCTGCAAAAAACATTCCTCTGATGTATTTAATTATTTTGCTGCTTTTTAATTTTAGGTCGCAGATGTGGTGATGATGGATATCGCCCCTGGAGTAAGATGCTCAACATATTTCTTTTTACATGAACAGTAGTGAAATGGGAATTATGGTGCAGTTCACTGCTATTTTCAGACCAGCATAACCCTAATTTTCACGTTTAGCACCACGTTATTCAAATAGCAAGTCCATTTGGGCCACTTTGTGGACTCATGGGTGTGCTGGTCTGAAAAGGACATGTGTTAAGATACATTGTTGACAGGTGCATTGTATTTTGAAGAACTGAGATAGACGGCACAATTGACCAACGAAACGTTGCTCTAAAGTCCAGTGCAGTTTTTGTCATTAAGGCCGTACTCACACTAGGTACAGTTGCCTCAAACGGGGCCAAAGCACGCTTGTCCCCCCTCCCGTCTCCCCCGACGGCTCGCACTCACACCACAAATGGGCCTCGGCACGCTTACGTCATCGCTGCTGCGCTGTTCAGTGAGAAGCGCTCTCTCTCACTCAGCAGCTTAGTGGAGATTTCTCTAGTTATATCGTTTTAGTCATTTGAGATGCGGGGACATGCAGTCAGATATTTCACCGAACAGATCCGCCACTTTTGGCGCTCCTAATCATGAAGCTCTCTTGCTGCACGAATGAGGTTTGCTGAAGGTGCGCAGCTGTCGTCTGCGCTTCTCGTCTTTAATAAACTACGGCAGTTTGCGTTCACTGAACAGTAAGAATGATTAATAAATCAATTTAAAACAGGCCCTTTAAAGTCACGTCTCGCGTACGCTTGTAGTGTGAGTGCAAAACGCGCTAAAGCCCGAAACTGAAAGTGAGACGTGACTTTTGAGGGCCTGTTTCAAATGGATTTTTTAATCAATCTTACTGTCATAGTTTATTAAAGACGCAAACCCTTCATTGCACGACAGCTGCACCTTCAGCAAACCTCCTCATTCCTGCAGCACGAGGGCTTTATGATTGTTTATGAGCGCCAAAAGTGACGGATTTGTTCGGCAAAATATCTGACTGCGTGTCACTGCATCCCTAAGGACTGTTTGGGGAAATATTTGACTGCACGTCACGGCATATCAAACGACTGAAACGATATAACTAGAGGAATCTCCACTGTGCTGCTGAGTGAGAGAGCGCTTCTCACTGAACAGCGCAGCATCGAAGCGTGCCCAGGCCCAACTAAGGGGGGACAAGCGTGCTTTGGCCTGGTTCGAGTCAACTGTACCTATTGTGAGTACGGCCTTAAAGAATGCGTTAGTTGTGTGCCTATGTGGGTCCAAAATGCTAACACATTGCTTAATACACACAAGATGTACAACAATACATAAATATCTTATCTACAGATGAATTAAAAAATTAAAGGATTAAACTGTTACAAATATTTTCTACATAAATACAGTGGAAAGTGTTCATTGCGCTTCACTTTTTCCACATGTTTTTATGTTACAGCCTTATTCCAAAATGGATTAAATTAATTTATTTCCTCAACATTCTACTCACAATACCCCCATAATGACGATGTGAAAAAGAGTTTCTGAAATTGTTGCAAATTTATTAAAAATAAAAAAACCTGAAAAATCACATGTACATCAGTATTCACAGCCTTTGTCATGAAGCTCTAAATTGTTGTAATCTGTAACTAGCACATAGAAAATGATAAGTATGCAGTGGTGACAGTGGTGGATTTGACAGATGTATTTCTTATGGGAGTTTTCTGGGAGAAATAACAAAAAGCAGGGTGGCAGGAGATGGGTGTTAATCACAGGAGACTCCCAGGAGAAATGTTAGTATTGGCAGGCATGGTTATGTGCTTATATATGTAAATGTTTTAGCAATATATTACTAGACATTTTAATATTCCCTGGCAAAAATCAGCTCCTTTAAATTCCAAGCAGTCACCATTATCAACCCCTTCTACATAAATGTGGTTGTCATCTACCGCCCACCCGGTACATTAGGTCACTTCTTAGATGAACTGGATGTTCTTCTCTCATCTTTTTCTGATTATGACACTCCCTTGTTGGTGCTAGGTGACTTCAACATCCACAATGAAAGACCTCAAACTACTGACTTCCAGACTCTGCTTGCCTCTTTTGACCTCAAAAGAGCACCTACTTCTGCTACTCACAAATCAGGTAATTAGCTAGATTATTTACATGCGACATAGTTTCGCTGATCAAACACTAGTAACTCCACTACACACATCGGATCATTTCCTTCTGTCTCTTAACATCCACATTACTCCTGTGCCTCCACACACCACAACAATAGTTGCCTTTTGTAGAAACCTACGCTCTCTCTCACCAAATAGACTATCCACCATTGTTTCAGAGTCTCTTCCTCCATCTTGCAAACTCTCTGCACTTGATTAGAACAGTGCCACTGATACACTCTGCTCCACACTAGCATCATGTCTAGACCGATTATGTCCTCTTACATCCAGGCCAGCTCGTGCCAGTACTCCCTGGCACCCTGACTCTCTGATGCTCTTCGTGAGCATCGCTCTAAACTTCGGGCTGCAGAGAGAATTTGGCGGAAAACTAAAAATCCTTCACACCTCATAACATACCAAACTCTTCTGTCCTCTTTCTCAGCTGAGGTTACTTCTGCAAAACAGACATACTTTCGTCAAAAAAATCAACAATGCCACCAATCCTTGCATACTTTTTAAAACATTTTCCTCCCTCCTCTATCCTCCTCCTCCACCTGCATCCTCCACACTAACTACTGATGACTTTGCTACATTCTTTTGCACCAAAACTGCAAAAATCAGTGCTCAAATTCCTGTACCTACAACAAACACGCAAGATACAACACCAACACCACACACACTCACCTTTTTTCCTCAGCTCTGTCAGTCAGAGGTGACCAAACTCGTGCTATCTTGCCATGCAACCACCTGTCCACTTGATCCCATTCCCTCTCATCTCTTGCAAGCCATCTCTCCTGCAGTCATACCAACACTGACTCACATAATTAACACATCTCTTCACTCTGGTTTATTCCCCACTTCAGGCAAGGGTAACCCCACTGCTAAAGAAACCCAACCTGGATCAAATGCTACTTGAAAACTATAGACCTATAGACCATACACTGCTTCCATTCATGGCCAAGATTCTGGAGAAAGTCGTGTTTAATTAAGTCCTGGACTTTCTTACTCAAAACAACCTCATGGACAAAAAGCAATCTGGCAATCTTTAAGAAAGGCCACTCAACTGAGACTGCCCTGCTCTCGGTCGTGGAGGATCTCAGACTGGCTAAAGCAGACTCTAAATCATCAGTCCTCATTTTGCTGGACTTGTCAGCTGCTTTTGACACTGTCAACCACCAGATCCTGCTATCTACGCTCGAGTCACTGGACGTTGCGGGCACTGTTATTAAGTGGTTCACATCTTACCTCTCTGACAGGTCATTCAGGGTGTCTTGGAGGTGAGAGGTGTCCAGCCTACAGCATCTAAACACTGGGGTACCACTGGGCTCTGTTCTTGGACCACTTCTCTTCTTAATCTACACAAGGATCAAGGATCAGTCATCCAGAAACATGGCTTTTCCTACCACTGCTATGCTGATGATACCCAGCTATACCTCTCTTTTCACCCTGATGGTCCCTCGGTTCCAGCTCTCATATCAGCCTGCATTTCAGACATTTTACACTGGATGAAAGATCATCATCTCCAGCTGAACCTCGCAAAAACGGAAATGCTTGAAGTTTCTGCCAACCCGACTCTACACCGTAACTTTTCAATCTAGATGGATGGGGCAACCATTACTGCATCCAAAATGGTGAAAAGCCTTGGAGTAACGATTGATGACCAACTAAACTTCTCTGACCACATTTCTAGAACTGCTCGATCGTGCAGATTTGCACTCTATAACATTAAAAAGGTCCGACCCTTCTTATCTGAACATGCAGCTCAACTCCTTGTTCAAGCTCTTGTTTTCTCCAGACTGGACTATTGCAACTCTCTACTAGCCAGGCTTCCAGCTAACTCTATCAAACCTCTTTAGCTGCTTCAGAACGCAGTAGCACGAGTGGTCTTTAATGAACCTAAAAGAGCACATGTCACTCCGCTGCTCATCCGTTTGCACTGGCTGCCAGTTGCTGCTCACATCAAATTCAAAGCTCTGATGTTTGCCTACAAAGCGATTTCTGGCTTTGCTCCTTATCTGCTCTCACTTCTGCAGATTTATGTGCCCCCCAGAAACTTGCGTTCTGTGAATGAACGTCGCCTCGTGGTTCCATCCCAAAGAGGGAAGAAATCACTTTCCCGAACTCTCGCGTTCAATCTGCCCAGTTGGTGGAATAAACTCCCTAACTGCATCAGAACAGCAGAGTCACTCGCTGTCTTCAAGAAACGATTAAAAACTCAACTATTTAGTCTCCACTTCACTTACTAATCTGCAATTGCCTCTCTGGCTCCACCGCTAAATTTACTCAAAAAAAATAAATATTACATTGCTAATGTTTTGCTTCTTACACCTTACAGACCTGAAACTTGCCTACAGCACTTATTCATTGTTGCTCTTATAGTTGTGTAAATTGCTTCCTTGTCCACATTTGTAAGTCGCTTTGGATAAAAACATCTGCTAAATGACAATGTAAATGTAGAAACAGTATGTTGCATGAGTTAGATGCTCAACATATGTTTGAGTCCTCTTTCTGTATTGCATAACTGAGACTATAAATAAAGTCAGATTAAGAAGATGTAAAGCTACACTGCAAAATAATGTTGCTCTGACTGATTTTGTTTGCTGCTTTTCAATTTTAGAACTGTTGGCTAAGGAAGAAGCTCTACTCAAGAGTAAGATGCTCAACATATTTTTCTTTTCTTGTTCAGCAGTGAATAGTGAATTGTGTAAATGTTCTTTGACGCTTGTTGTTCTGACTTCATGTTGATGTTTAGTTGTGTTGATTCATGTTAATAAGCTAAAGAATGACATGTTCAATCTTCATGATTGTGTCTACAGTGAATGGCGTTAGCTGCCAAGACATTTATGTCTCAGGTGGGTGTATAAGCTGCATTTGCTGTTATGGTTTATAATATAAATAAATATTTTAGCAATATATTACTAGAAATAAAAAACAGTATGTTGCAATGTCTGATACAGTACTTTACCTAGTAAATATTCACAGCAAGAGTTGAATTCTTTTGCTGTATTGCATAACTAAGATTATAAATTAAGAAGGTGTAAAGCTACACTGCAAAATAATGTTTCTCTGACTGATTTTGTTTGCTGCTTTTCACACCAAAAGTAAGATGCTCAACATATTTTTGAGTCCTCTTTCTATATTGCATAACTAAGACTATAAATAGAGTCCGACTGAAAAGGTGTAAAGCTACACTGCAAAAAATAAAAAATGTGTTTGCTGCTTTTCAATGTTAGGTGACGCACAAAGCATAGATGGAGATCGCCCCACATGTAAGATGCTCAACATATTTTTCTTCTTACATGAACAGCAGTGAATTGGGAATATGTAAATGTTGATGTTTAGTTGTGTTGATTCATGTTAATAAGCTGAAGAATGACATGTTCAATCTTCATGATTGTGTCTACAGGGAGTGATGACGGCTTTCGTGAGTCATGGGACTCAGGTAGGTGTATAAGATTCATACATTTGCTGTTATGTACTGATAAATACATTTATTTTATATTTAGCAATAAATATGTTGGCAATAAATCACTTAAATAAAAACAAAATCTTGAAATGTGTTGCTGGTACAGTACTTCACATACAGTGGGGATCGAAAGTTTGAGCACCCCAGGTAAATATTAGTATTAATGTGCATAAAGAAGCCAAGGAAAGATAGAAAAATCTCCAAAAGGCATCAAATTACAGATTAGACATTCTTATAATGTCAAAAAAAGTTCGATTTTATTTCCATCATTTACACTTTCAAAACAACAGAAAACAAAAAATGGCGTCTGCAAAAGTTTGGGCACCCTGCAGAGTTTACAGCATGCACTGCCCTGTGGTCAAGTATCACAGCTTGTAAACTTGGATTTTCAATTATGTTGAGGTCAGGAGATTGTGAAGGTCATAGCAAAACCTTCAGTTTGCTCCTCTTGATGTAATCCACTGTGGATTTTGAGGTGTGTTTAGGATCATTATCCATTTGTTGAAGCCATCCTCTCTTTAACTTCTGCTCTTTCACAGATAACATCAAGTTACCATTAAACATTTGCTAAAATTTGATTAAATCCATTTTTCCTTCTAATGGTGAAATGTTCCCTGTGCCACTGGCTGCAATACAATCCCAAAGCTTGATTGATCCACTGCCGTGGTTAACAGTTGGACAGAGGTTCTTGTCATTCAATTTTGTGCCCTTCCTTCTCCAAACGTACCTTTGCTCATTCTGGCCACTAAAGTTCTATTTTAACCTCATTGGTCCACAGAACTTGTTTCCAAAATGCATCAGGCTCGTCTAAATGTTCATTTGCGAAGTTCAAATGCTGATTTTTGTGGTGAGGATGTAGAAGAGGTTTTCTTCTGATGACTCTTCCATAAAGACCATATTTGTACAGGGATCTCTTTATAGTGGAATAGTGTCCCACAGCTCCAGTGTCTGCCAGTGAGTTTTGACTTGCTTTTCTCACAATCCTGCCAGCTGCTGGTCTTCCAGATCCTGCTTTAACTTCCACTGTTCCTGATGACTGCCATTTCTTAATTACATTCTGAACTGAGGACATTGGAATCTGAAAATGCTTTGCTATCTTCTCATAGCCTTCTCCTGCTTTTTCAATTCAATTCAATTCAGCTTTATTTGTATAGCGCTTTTACAATTGAGATTGTGTCAAAGCAGCTTCACATAAATGGTCATAGTAATTGAAACAGTGCAGTTCAGTTTTTAGTGTTTAAGTTTAGTTCAGTTTAGCTCAGTTCAGTGTGGTTTAAATCATTACTGAGAGTCCAAACACTGAAGAGCAAATTCATCGATGGGTAGCTCTACCGATCCCAAACCATGCAAGCTAGAGGTGACAGCGGAGAGGGAAAAAAAACTTCACCGAGGCGAGTGAATGATTTCATTGGATAATGAAAAAAAAAGAATAATTAGCATAGCTGCTATTCATTGTGTATATAAACAAGATGCAGAAACTTGTGTGGAAACCCGCTAAGTGTTAAACAGGTCGCACACCAAGAATGTTAAGAATGTCTAATCTGTAATTTGATGCCTTTTGGAGATCTTTCCATCTTTCTTTGGCCTCTTTATGCACATTAATACTAATATTTACCTGTGATACTCAAAACTTCGCTCCCCACTGTAGTAGATATTAACAATAAATAGTCCTCTTGATGTATTGATTAACTAAGGCTTTAAATAGAGTCAAATTGAAAAGGTGTAAAGCTACTCTGCAAAAAACATTCCTCTGATGTATTTAATTATTTTGCTGCTTTTTAATTTTAGGTCGCAGATGTGGTGATGATGGATATCGCCCCTGGAGTAAGATGCTCAACATATTTCTTTTTACATGAACAGTAGTGAAATGGAATTATGGTGCAATTCACTGCTATTTTCAGACCAGCATAACCCTAATTTTCACATTTAGCACCACGTTATTCAAATAGCAAGTCCATTTGGGCCACTTTGTGGACTCATGGGTGTGCTGGTCTGAAAGGTAGGTGTACTAAGGTGCATTGTTGACGCGTTGCTATTTTGAGGAACTGAAATAGATGGCGCAATTGACCAACGAAAAGCTGCTCTAAAGTCCAGTGCAGTTTTTGTAATTTAAAGAATAGTTGTGTGCCTATGTGGGTCCAAAATGCTAACACATTGCTTAATACACACAGGATGTACAACAATACATAAATATCTTATCTACAGATGAATTAAAAAATTAAAGGATTAAACTGTTACAAATATTTTCTACATAAATACAGTGGAAAGTGTTCATTGCGCTTCACTTTTTCCACATGTTTTTATGTTACAGCCTTATTCCAAAATGGATTAAATTAATTTATTTCCTCAACATTCTACTCACAATACCCCCATAATGACGATGTGAAAAAGAGTTTCTGAAATTGTTGCAAATTTATTAAAAATAAAAAAACCTGAAAAATCACATGTACATCAGTATTCACAGCCTTTGTCATGAAGCTCTAAATTGAGCTCTGGTACATTCTGTGTCCACTGGTCATTCTTGAGATGTTTCAGCAGCTTCATTGGAGTTCACCTGTGGTAAATTCAGTTGATTGCACATGATTTAAAAAGGCACCTGTCTATATAAGGTCCCAGGGTTGACAGTGCATGTCAAAGCACAAACAATGCATGAAGACAAAGGAATTGTCTGTAGACCTCAAAGACAGGATTGTCACGATTCACAAGGCTGGGGAAGGGTACAGTACATTTTCTGCTGCTCTGAAAATTCCAATGAGCACAGTGGCCTCTATCATCTGTAAGTGGAAGATGTTTGGAACCACCAGGACTCCTCCTAGAGCTGGCCGGCCATCTAAGCTGAGTGATTGAGGGAGAAGGGCCTTAGTCAGGGAGGTGATCAATAACCCGATGCTCACTCTGTCTGAGCTCCCGCGTTCTTGTGTGGAGAAAGGAGAACCTTACAGGACAACCATCTGTGCAGCAATCCACCAGTCAGGCCTGTATAATAAAGGCATGGGCGAGTATAAGATTCTGACGGTATTATAATCTTGGATAAAAATATTACGGTTTCACGTGCTGTAATTGTGATCACTGCTCTAAATATATGTTCTTTTTAAATGTCTGGGTAAAAAAAACAACTTTTTTCCCCCTTTTAACACAATATATTTTATTTTTTGAAAGATTTATAATATTTTGGGACAGTAAACATGTCAGACTAAATAATTGAAATGAATCATTGACTTTTGCTGTCTTCATTAGTTAAAAAAATCGCTGATTCTTTGGATATTTTTCTGCTGGAGATACTGTTGTCCTAAAAAACAAACAAAAAATGTAAATAAAAAAATTTACACATACCTTAGGAGCGATATTACAGAAAATTTTGGCAGTTTTACAACTTTTGACTTTTCCAAACCTTGTTAAACCTTGAAAACGGTTGCTGCCAAAGGTGCATCAACAAAGTATTGAGCAAAGGCTGTGCATACTGATGTATCTGTGATTTTTCAGCTTTTATTTTAAATAAATTTGCAACCATTTCAAAAACTTTTTTCACATTGTCATTGTGGTGTACTGTGGGTAGAATGTTGAGGAAATAAATGAATTTAATCTATTTTGTAATTAGGCTGTAACATAAAAAATGTGGAAAAAGTGAAGCGATACCGATACATTCCGAATGCACTGTATACAAACCATTGCTTCCATGACTTCACCTCAGGGGCTTTGGAATCCAGCTCTGTTATAGTCTGTTTGGATATAACTCAGTTTTTTGACCACACTTCATTATTATTGTTCATTTATTCATTCGCTGGAAATTAGAGCTGAATTTAGAAATAGTTTTGAAACAAATCTTTACGCTTCACAAACTAAATTAAATAGGCTAATGGATGACTTCAGTGGAGTGCATACAACTTTGTTTCCTTATCCACAAAAGTAAAGGAGTAAAGAGTAAAAGTAAAGAGAAAGTAAAGAGGCCAAATGGGAGGAGGCTCGTTCTTTATCTTCTCACTGCAGATACTTGTGAAGCGTTCAACTTTTTAACTTAGAATAAACACAACCCTGTTCTAGCGATATTTAGGTTTGTGCTTTAGTTAAATGAAAGTTATGCAAGTCTAATTTTCTAATGTGTGAATATTACAGATGAAGAGTATCTGGATGGGCAAGGGAAGATAAGCATAAGAGAAATTTACTGAAGAGGGAAAGTTTCTCCTGGCTGTCCAATCAAACAGATGAAAGAGAACTACATACTACAAATACTACAATACTACAAATTCTATTTACTGATGATTTACTCTGATTTACTCTAGACATGTAACAGAAACATTAACCGTTTATGATCAGTTTTCATATTTAGACAAACTTAAAACAAAGCTCTTTAATTCATTTAGCTTTTTTTTTATGTTTGATTTGTCTGTCCCTGTCAGTTTGTGATAAATGTTTTTTATGGGACTTTATATTCCAATTTGTGGTTTGCACCAAATTTCTATTTCTGTTACCATTCAACACAACACAACATGTAATAATTTGTGAAGTTGTTGAAAATATAACCATAATATTGTAGGGTTTTCATGGGGCACTGAAAAGCATTAAAAGCCATTACATTTATTTCTCAAAATAAAAGCCTCAAAGGCACAGTTCAGCCAAAAATGAAAATGACCTCATTTTAATTTATTAATTTATTTCCAGTTTCTTTCTTCTGTTGAATATAGACCCTTTTAAGAGATTTAAACAAAAACGATGGTCCTATGCACTGTTTTACAAGTTTAATTTCTACAGCTTCTGATAATCCAAAAAGAGTCCCATTTTGATAATGTTATGATAGCTGTTTTAACATTAAGTTATGATTGAATTGCCTCTTGTTACAGTTATGAAATAGTGTGATAAGCAGGAAATGTTCATGGGTCAATGACATTACCACATTGATATGGTCTATAAGAGAAGATGTTTTGAAAGTAACTGTTGACTTTTATAATATTTGTTTTTTGTTAGAATTATTTTTACTATGGAAGTCAGTGGTTACTAACATTCTTCAAAATATCTTCTTTTGTTTTCAACAGAAAAAGGAAATCATAAACTTTTGAAACCACTTAAAAAAAAAGAGTAAATATTAAAAACATTCATTTGGGTGAACTATCCCTTTAAATGGCATAAAAAAGCATTAGATTTTATTTTTATTAGAATAGTAGATAGTTTGATGAAAAAAGTGCTATTATCTGGGGGGGTTTTCAGTCCCACTGCCAGTGCATTTTATTTTGCATTGACCGTTCGCACTATTTATTCCCACTTTATAACCTGCTGTACAATCAGAGCAGCAAAAAAAAAAAAAAAAAAAAAGATTTGGCTACTAAATGAGATGGTACTTTGTGTCAGTTTTAAAACAAAATCTTATATAAAAGCAAGAGCAAGATAATAAGAGATTATTTAATGTATTCAGTAGCTGCTTGTCTTTTTCTCACATTTTCTTTGTGTTTTATTATAATGGGCAATGCAATGGGTCATTTGTTTGTTTGTCATTCTACTGTATTCATTATTTAGCAAACATTATAATATCATAATCATTTTCCATTAAGGAAACCCTGAATTAAAAAATAAATCAATAGCATAAGTTAAACTGTGTCTCCTTCAGTTGTTTTTCTGTGTGAATACTGCATATTTGTCACTGTTCTGGTCATGTGCTGGAGTAAATCCTGATTCTTCAGCGATCTCCTTCACTTTGACAGCAAAACCTGACACTTGCTCTTTTGAAAGATCCAACAGGAATCTGAACAAGAAAAAACACTCAGATCATGAGTATTCAGTGCAGGTTGAGTAGATCTGTGCTAATATAAACATCTTGTAAGTAACAGTTATTGGTCAGTGTTTTATTTTTTACTTTGCTTAACTCACGTTGCTAACTCTATAACCAGAGCAGCATCAGGCGCTGCGATCTCTCTCAGAGCAGAATCCAGCTGATGAACCATACTGAGAAACCACAGACCCATTGTGTTAGTATCACATATTTTATGATGGTCACTCAGATCTCCTGTTTATAAACATGCTTCACCTTGCTGAACAGAAGATGGTGTTGAACAGGTTCCTGTATTTGCTTTTGAGAGGAAGTTTGCTGAGTGAGTCTGGAGACAGAAATGACACTTTCACTCCATTCACATTCAGCAGATCTGGAAGACAAAACAAATGTTATTTAAGTCTATGTGATGGGAAGTTTATAAGAAGATTAGTTTGATTTAATATGTCAATAGCAGTACTTTAAAGGATTTTCTTTAAACTCCTGCATCCCAAAACTTGCTTGATTAGGAAAAAACATTTGTAATTTAAAAAAAAAATAAGATTGTTTTGAATCCTCATCCAGGAATCATCATGAAAATGACTTTGGATGTTCAAAATACAACACTATATAGAGGAAAAAACAGCATGTTTATTCAAAAAACAATTTCTTTATGACCGCAGTCTGCATAAGTAAAGACATTTACATTTTGGATGTCAAGGGAGTGAACATTTTATTCTTGAAGTGAACTATTGCTTTAATTGGTTTGACATTAATAGGACGTTACCAAGCTCTTGAGTTGGCGAATGTTCCACAGGTTGAGTTTGAGAAGCAGACGGATCACTCTGTGAGTTTTCTTCAGTTTTGCGACTTTCTGTGGATTGACAGCAGGAACTGGAGGTGTTTGGTGGATCTTCATTTAGTGGAGATCTCCCTCTAGCGGCGAGACACTCAAACAACTCCAGCAAGTTCACTTCAGAAATATCCTGAGCCGTCTGAGAGACACAGATGACCAGAGAGAGGTAAATCACCATTTAAATATCACTGCAGTTCATTAAACGTTACTGGAGTGTATTTTTAAAACCTGCATTAACCGGAAGTTGCTTAGACATTTATTTTTAGTATGTTGATGTACTTCCAGTTCCAACTGAAATTGAATATTGAGAAGGGCTTTGTTTTTGGGCATCATTCCCCTACAGCAAACTAAAGGGGGTATTTATATGCAGTTGCTATGGAAACCCAAGGGTTAACGTCAACAGAAGGAACACCACTCCAAATGTTGAAGCAATTGGTCAGATTTTAATTGAAGATTACCAAAACAAACTACATTTTTTAGTGGATGAACTAGCACTGAGTAATTATTCACCTTAAGAATAAACAATATGAGCTGGCAAAATAAACATTGTACGTTTTAGTTTCATACAGACTATAACATACAACATGTTAAAAGCTGTGGTTGTACACACAAGGTTTCCATCTGTAATTTTAATCTGAATTAATAAGCTAGTGTTCTTCACCTTCACATAATGATTGTTCTGTGTCTTCAGCAGCTCTTTGTTTTCAGTCTCAATGCCGAAGGACAGATATGGACTGGAGACGATGTCGCCCCAGTATCCTCGTAAAGCAACCCCATTTCCTCTCTGGTAAAAAAACACACACACACACACACTATTAAATAAATGTATATGGCGAACGTATATGAAATGTTCAAAACACTCACATGGTTGAAGACTCGAGTTGAAAGCAGACTCTGATTGGCTGTTTGGTAAAGCCCCTCCCTCATCTCAAAGGTCACGCCTGTTTCTCTCCATTTGGCATACTGATGTTTGTTGATGACGCCACACTGATGGACGAGAATCACAGGGTTTTGTTAAACAGCAGAGATCATGCTTTCATACGATTATTAAAAAAGTAATAATTATGAGAAGACTTCAAAAATATATGCTGGAATATGCATTCATTTACAGGTTGAACAGTGAATGTATTATCTTTTACTAATTAACAATTACTTCTCATAATTATGACCTAACAAGCTATAATTTAGACTTTTTGGCATAAATGACTTGGTAATGACAGATTTTTTCCATCAAATAATATTTTTTATGTTCTAATTCAAATATTTTATATCAAACTTTACATGCCAATTTAAAAATCTAATTTACAACTTAATTATTGCATGATCATGACTTACGGTGTCATTTCAACCTGTTATATAATTATAATTAGGACTTTGTCATATTTTACATGTAATTTCTATCTGGCCATATCCTGCAATTTCATCTTTTTATGTAATAACTGATTAATTTTCTCATAATAATATTCATATTTTACTTAAGTCATAATGTTGAGCTTTGTATACCATATTTAACTTAAATATTAACCTCTTTATGGGTGGCATGGTGGCTCGGTGGTTAGCTCTGTCGCCTCACAGCAAGAAGGTCTCTGGGTCGAGTCCCAGCTGGCATTTCTGTGTGGAGTTTGCATGTTCTCCCCGTGTTGGCGTGGGTTTCCTCTGGGTGCTCCAGTTTCCACCACAGTCCAAACACATGCGATATAGGTGAATTGAATAAGCGAAATTGTCCATATTGTGTGTGGGTGTGAATGTGAGAGTGTATGGGTGTTTCCCAGTACTGGGTTGTGGCTGGAAGGGCATTCGCTGCGTAAAACATATGCTGGTAGTTGATGGTTCATTCTGCTGTGGCGACCCCAGATTAATAAAGGGACTAAGCCGAAAAGAAAATGAATGAATGAAACTGGTTGTAGTGTATGAGTGTGTGAAAGTGTGCGTGTCTGGGTGGTTCTCAGTACTGTGCTGCAGCTGGAAAATGTAAAACACGTGCCGGAATAATTGGTGGTTCATTCCACTGATAAATAAGGGACTAAGCTGAAGAAAAATAAATGAATGAATGAATTATCTTATTTACCTTATAATTATTGAAAGAGTCTTTACTTAATTTTACCCATTTTAAATCTCATCAGTATGTTTTATTTCTATCTCCTATTTCATAATTAATCTGCTTCATAATTTAATTTTTAAAGTGATGATTTTAACTAGAATTGGTGTCAATTTATACATGAAAACATGAACTATTTGCATCCTATGTCTTGATTGATTGACTTGATTGATTTTTTTGTTTACGAATGTCATCATAACATGCAGTAAATTGAGCTCTGTTGTTGCACTTCTCTGATTGGCTGTGAGTAGTAAAGCAGTATTTAATAGCATCATATGTGCTCCATACTCCTCTCTGATGTAGCTTCATGTTGAGATCCCAGTCGAATGCTCCCTGTCGAGAGTCGTATCGAGAGCCCAGATGCTGCCGAACACGAGCATCCCACACTTTACTAACACTGGCTGGAGCTGATGGAGGCCGTTCCCACAGCTTAAAGATCCGCACCAGCTCATCTCGCTCCTTAAACTATGAGGAAACAGCAGAGGAGTGAATACAGGGTTCCCACTCTTTCATGAACAGCAGATTCAAGGTCTTTCATCATTAATTTTAAATCAAGCACGTTTTTTTTATTCCCCCAGCATATGTAGTGCCATGAAAGTCCTTACTGTACTTAACATTTCACTTACACTTAATATTTAGATTAAAATGTCAGATTAATGATGATGTTTTGAATGTGTCATTATTAAAGAACTCAAATTTGTTTAATTCAATGGTCATATTCAAACGCGGTTTCTGACATATGGATAAGATGTGCATTATTTTTCCTAGTTCTTGTACGAGATTTTAATGTAATAATTGATCATATTTTACCTTTGTTTTTGACAGCAGCTAAGTACAAACGGTAAACAAATTTCATTTCAAATTTGATTCAAGGATGTGTGTTTGTTTTTAGGTACTTTCCAGGCCTTGAATCCATATGTCTGAAATTCATAACCGTGTGAATAACACTGAGCTGACTGTAAATATGTACTGATGTGTGTGTGTGTGTTGGACCTTCAGTAAGCTAGTGTCGAGGCAGGAGTGACTGAGAGAGTCTGAGGACAGAGAGTAAGTGATGGAGATGGAGAGCTGAGCTGCGGCCTTTTTTACACTCTCTTCTGTCTCTTTGCGGATCTCTAAGTTTCCAAACACCTCCAGAAACACCTCAGTCTTCTCTGGAAAATACAACACAAAACTAGATTCACAGGAATATATAAACAAACTTATATGCAGTATGCTACATTGTTAGGGTTCAGGAACTCAAATGGATACTTACCATTTTTTAGACCTATATCATTCCCTAACTTTAAAAAGAACATTAATAAAAAGCAATATGTTAGTTTATTATATTTAACATTGGTATTTTATTTATTAAAACAAATTTGTTTAGTCATTTTTAGTAAGATTTATAAAAACTAAATTTTCTTGAGTTTTTTTTATTGCATTATTTCTTATATTTTCTTACACATTCAGTATACTTTGGTAACAACAGAAGATATATAAATGTTATAATGTTCATTGGTAGCGCATTACAATGAGGTTCCATTCAATAATGTTATTTAATATATTTATTAACCTCAACAAACAATGAACAATACATTTATTATAGAAATATTCATCTACACCCACCGGCCACTTTATTAGGTACACCGTACTAGTACTGGATTGGTACTAAAACTGCCTTAATCCTTCGTGGCAAAGATTCAACAAGGTACTTGTAATATTCCTCAGAGATTTTGGTCCCTATTGACATGAAAGCATTATGTAGTTGCTGCAGATTTTTCAGCTGCACATACATGATGCAAATCTCCCGTTCCACCACATGCCAAAGGTGCTCTATTGAATTGAGCTCTGGTGACTGTTGAGGCCATTTGAGTACAGTGAACTCATTGTCATGTTCAAGAAACCAGTTTGAGATGATTCGTGCTTTATAAAATGGTGTGTTGTCCTGCTGGAAGTAGCCATCAGAAGATGGGCACACTGTGGTCATAAAGGGATGGACATGGTCAACAACAATACTCAGGTAGGCTGGGGCGTTGACTCGATGCTCAATTGGTACTAATGGGCCCAAAGTGTGGCAAGAAAATATCCCCCACACCATTACACCACCACCACCAGTCTGAACCGTTGATACAAGGCAGGATGGATCCAAGCTTTCATGTTGTTGACGCCAAATTCTGACCCGAAATCCAAATGTTGGAGCAGAAATGGAGACTCATCAGAGCAGGCAATGCTTTTCCAATCTTCTATTGTTCAATGTTGGTAAGCCTGTGGGAATTGTAGCCTCAGTTTGCTGTTGTTAGCTGACAGGAGTGGCACCCGGTGTTGTCTTCTGCTGCTGTAGCCCATCTGCCTCAAGGTTGGACGTGTTGTGCCTTCAGAGATGCTCTTTTGCACCTCTCAGTTGTAATGAGTGGTTATTTAAGTTATTGTTGTCTTTCTGTCAGCTGGAACCAGTCTGGCCATTCTCCTCTGACCTCTGGCATCAACAAAGCATTTGCACCCACAGATCTGCCGCTCACTGGATATTTCCTCTTTTTTTAGATCATTCTCTGTAAACCCTAGAGATGGTTATGCATGAAAATCCCAGTAGATCAGCAGTTTCTGAAATACTCAGACCAGCCTGTCTGACACTAACAACTATGCCACATTCAACGTCACTTAAATCCCCTTTCTTACCCATTCTGATGCTCAGTTTGAACTACAGCAGGTTGTCTTGACCATATCTACATGCCTGAAACTGTAGTCACACTTGACTTTTCTCCCCATAGACTTCCATTCATAAGCACGCAAATGCGTCAGACCGGAAACGCAGGGTCATAATTGCATCACTTGACTGCGAGAGACCAATCGAGAATCAAACCATGACCTCTCTGGACAGGAATTTAAAACATGCAGCAAACGCTCACTTTTTAAATGTCTAATAACATTATTTGATCCCGCCCCTTTTCGCAGCGCCATACAACGGAATTTCGCACACACAAACTCTAGTATGACCGCAGCTTAAATGCATTAAGTTGCTGACATGTGATTGGCTGATTAGAAATGTGTGCTAACGAGCAGTTGGACACGTGTACCTAATAAAGTGGCTGGTGAGTGTATGTTAACATTAGTTATTGACAGAACAGCCATTCATTATTAGTTCTGGATAACTCTGTGAATTAACTAATGTTGTATAATTTGATATTTCATTGGTAAATGTTGAACTATGATTATTAAATGCTTAATAAGTACTGTTTATCCCTTGATCATGTTAGTAAATACATTAACTAACATTAACTGATAAAACCTTATTGTAAAGTGTCCAGTGGATTTATTATTATGTAACTGCCTTATTATATATTTATTATGTTTATATTTATGTTTATTTACTTTTGTTTTTTATCGGGAATGCTGGAGTTGCTATATTCTTAAAAACGTTAAAATAGCACAAGAAAAGTCATGTTAGGATACGTACTGTGCACACTCATCTTATCAGGGGGTAGAAGTGATATATAGAGTAGTAATAGTTGTCTGGCAATAACCTCCATACTGTTCTCAATCACCCAAACCTGCAACAAGCCACACATCTTATTATTAATCAGTGAAAGCATTGATTTAGGTCATGTGGTAGAAAGGCACTTAATTCATAATTTACACACATGTAGTGTATCCGAGTGTGTGAGTCCAGTGATGGTCTTCAGGATGTGTCTGGGGTCTCCACTGCCCACGAGCAAAACATTAAGCTCTTCTTGTAGCCTCACTTTGTGTGTGTCTGTAAATAAATTGACAAAAGAATGATGAATTAATGTAAAACACATTGATACATTTGAGTTTAGTTAGTTAAGCCAATCTATGTCATGTTTTTTTACTTTTCTTTTTGCATTTTTTTCTTTAATTTTGTTCATGCTTAAACAAAGTTACAGCAAACACAGAAATAAGTATTTTCTTTTCCTACCCTATTTCCAATCTAAACAGTGTGCTTAATACACAGAGCAGCAAAATATATATATATTTTTAAAACAAGTAAATATCTACTGTAAGTAAATTAAATAAATTGTATTTAAGAAAACGGGTAAATAACAGTTCAAATAAATAAATAAATAAATAGTAATATTAAAGCACAGCAAAGAAATCTGTCAATCAAATGATCTATGCTGGTGTTGTGCCAAGAGGTGCAGAGTTACGACACTAATGACGGACTGAAGTGAGTTTTATGGCGCAGTAGATAGTGCTGTCACCTCACAGCAAGAAGGTCGCTGGTTCGAGCCTCGGCTGGGTCAGTTGGTGTTTCTGTGTGAAGTTTGCATGTTCTCCCTGCGTTTGTGTGGGTTTGCTCCGGTTGCTCCGGTTTCCCCCACAGTCCAAACACATGGGGTACAGGTAAATTGGGTAGGCTAAATTGTCCGTAGTAAATGAGTGTGTATGGATGTTTCCCAGAGATAGGTTGCGGCTGGAAGGGCATCTGCTGCGTAAAACATGTGCTGGAGAAGTTGGCGGTTCATTCCATTGTGGCGACTCCAGATTAATAAAGGGACTAAGCCGAAAAAAAATTAATGAATGAATGAATTAACTTTAAATACAGTACCGACGAGAATAAGTAAATTGTCCAATCTGTGGTTTAATTAAAAACAGTAACAACAATTTTTTGTGTTCCATGTAGCCTAAATGTCTGTTTAAAACCCACCAAAAAGCCTCATTTTAGGCTACAAAACAGTCAATAGGCCTATTATTAATTTTACATTTATTTGTAAACCTGGTGCATTTTAAAATCCTTTCACTTCTTATCCTCGCTTTATCTCTTAAAATACTAATCATTAGGCATTTTAATCCATTATGGCATTTGATTTGATTAGATTTTTAAATGTAGCCTGACAATGAAAGTGAGGGGGTGCATTTTGCGGCAGGGGTGCGTTTCTCGGCACAACACCGGCATGTTAAACAAACCTGACTGAACAATTAGATGGTCTTTTTCCTGAAGCTTTAACGTTAGTCATATTAATCTTTTCATATGTAATCAATGGTTTGTTATAGGTTTTTTTCTCAGTAGTTCCTTAGTTTTCACTATAGTATATTAAGTTTAACGTTAGAGAGTAACGTTAGTCTGGAGTTTAGTCTTGTTTAAATTAGATTAACGTTAACGTTACCTGAGTTCAGCAGGTCTCGAGCTGGTCCAAATCCCCACCAGGTCACACATCCCGCACCCTCAAAAGTCCGACCAGCGCTCATTCTTCATCAATGATAATATTTTAGTAATCAGCAAATTGTCTGCGTGTAAATGTCTGCACTCCTCCAGTTCTGTTTTCAGCGGACTGATGTTGATTCTAGTTAGATAACGTTAGCTGTTAGCAGCCGTCTGCACTAAGATATACCATATCTAACTCTTAGTCAAGAAAAAAAAGCTTACTTATGGAAAGGATGTGAATGTATGAGAGTAAAAAAATGCTGTAATTTATTCAACAGAGAGTGAAGCTAGCTCTCTATGGAACTCACCTCTCTCCTCGTGTCGTGTAAACAACACAAGCTAAAGTTTGTTAGACGGTTGCTCGGCAACAAGTGCACGACACCTAGAGAGTAAAACCCAACCGTCAAACTCGCTGATCCATAATAAAATATCTTTTAGGTAAGGTTAACATTTCTAATGAGGAGTGACACACGAGAGTAGTTTGTGAGTGAAATTACTTTTAAATGTTTATTTTAAATGTCATATTTTATTTGATTTTAAAGTACTGTCGCCTCACAGCAATAATGTCGCTGATTCGAGCCTCGGCTGGGGCATTTCTGTGTGGAGTTTGCATGTATCCCCTGTGTTCGCGTGGGTTTCCTCCGAGTGCTCCGGTTTCCCTCACAGTCCAAAGGTATACGGTAACGTAACAGGTTAATTGGGTAAGCTATTGTCAGTTTTGTATGTGTGTAAATGAGTGTGTATGGGTGTTTCCCAGTACTAGGTTGCAGCTGAAAGGGCATACGCTGCGTAAAACATATGCTGAATAAGTTAACGTTAGTTGTTCATTCCGCTTTTGCGACCCCTGATTAATAAAGGGACTAAGCTGAAAAGAGAATGAATGAATGAATTAGTGCTCAGCAAAATTGAGTAGACACCCTATTTTGAAAACATATTTTTTCTATTTCTCAGTGAATGTAGGTCATATATTTTGGTGCATTTGAACAAAACAGATTTACTAAGCAGATATATGTATTTCAATAATATTTAAGTCACTGAACATCTTTAGAAATAGACAGATAATACAATAAAACTCAGGCAGAGTATACTAAATATATTTACACTATGAAATTACAACTACATTTTTTATACTTTTTGTTTCTCTAGATTTTTCCTCTTTTAATTTTTTTTTTTTTTTACATATTTCTGTGTGTGAACTTTTGCGCTGTTATTGTAGTTGTTTTGTTATAAACTCTAGATTTGTATATGCACACATATAATATTTTAAAGCATCCTCTATGGAAAATATCAATTTAAAAGATAGATTTGTGAGGGGTGTACTCGCATATGCACTATATATTGATTTTAAGCATCAAAACTAAATAAAAATAAATAAAGTAAATATGCTAACATCAAAGTCCATTTGTGATAATGAGCACAGTTATACATTTTATGAAAATACATTTGAGGTGGTCAAAGGCATATTCTTTGAAAAAAATCCTTCACCCATCCCTTATTTCTTGAGTGGTAATTGTACTGTTGTACAGTGTATAATGAATCAAAATTCATTATTATAAAGTTTAGTACAGAAGTTGTTTGGACAGTTTGAATGTTGGAGACCTTGCTTGGTTCCAGTTAAGCAAAATGCACTTTTATGTGCTAAATAAAGATCCCAAGCCTCTTTATATACAGTTGAAACCAGAACTATTAAGCCCCCTGAATTATTAGCCTCCCTGTTTACTTTTTCCTCAATTTCTGTTTTTACGTAGAGCAGATTTTTTCAGCACATTTCTAAGCATAATAGTTTTAATAACTTATTTCTAATAACTGATTTATTTTATCTCTGCCATGATGACAACATATGGTATTTGACTAGATATTTTTCAAAACACTTCTATACAGCTTAAAGTGACATTTAAAGGCTTAACTAGGTTATAGGTTAACTAGGCAGGTCAGGGTAATTAGGCAAGTTATTGTATAGTGATGGTTCGTTCTGTAGACTATTGAAAAAATATTTTATTTTTTTATTATTTAAAAATTTTTTTTAAATCTGCTAAGGGGGGCTAATAATTCTGACTTTATATATATATATATATATATATATATATATATATACATACATACATACATTTACATATATATATATACATACATATACATATACATTTTGTTCACGAGTGAGGGAAGAATGGAACGTGAGATTGACAGGCGGATCGGTGCGGCGGCAGCAGTTATGCGGTCGATGTACCGGTCCGTTGTGGTGAAGAAGGAGCTGAGCCGAAAGGCAAAGCTCTCGATTTACCGGTCAATCTACATTCCTACTCTCACCTATGGTCATGAGCTACGGATCGGATCATGACCGAAAGGACAAGATCTTGGATACAAGCGGCAGAAAAGGGTTTCCTTCGAAGGGTGGCAGGGTGCACTCTTATGGATAGGGTGAGGAGCTCTGACACCCGGGAGGACTTCGGAGTAGAGTCGCGGCTCCTCCACATCGAGAGAAGTCAGCTGAGGTGGCTTGGGCATCTGTTTCGGATGCCTCCTGGACGCCTACCTAGGGAAGTGTTCCAGGAATGTCTCACCGAGAGACCCAGGACACACTGGAGGGACTATGTCTCTCAGCTGACCTGGGAACGCCTCGGGATCCCCCCGGAGGAGCTGGAGGAAGTCACTGGGGATAGGGAAGTCTGGGGTTCTCTCCTAAGACTGCTGCCCCCGCGACCCGGCCCCGGAAAAGCGGCAGAAGATGAATGAATGATGAAGTGTCTAGTTCAAGTCTTTAGAGGTATTGTGTTTTCCAGTGGTATTTATATGTTATAAAGTATTGCGTCTTACCAATAAAACTTTAAATAATCTAGCTTCTGTTTATCTAACTGAGCTTTTATCTCGCTACAATCCAATCAGCTCTTAAAGATCTCAAAACTCAGGGCTTCTGGTAGTACCCAGAATAGCAAAGTCTACTAAAGTCTCATTTATCGCTCCTAGACTCTGGAATAGCCTTCCTGATAATGTCTGAGGCTCAAACACACTCAGTTCAAAACTAGATTAAAGACCTATTTTTTTTAGTAAAGCAAATGGGATGATGCATGAGTGTGCTCGATGCAAGTGAGCGGGCTTGACAACCATCTAGGACACACTCCTACTGTCTTATTGCACCAGACATTTTGTTAGAAACACTCCTATGCTTTACATGTTTGTCAATAACTGCTGTTTTAATTTATAGCACTTCTTTTTTGCATTGATATTTATTATCTCTTGTTTAAATACACTATGAATAGTAGCTACGCTCATTGTTTTCTTTGTTCTCTTTTTCCAACTGGGGATACTCAACCCGAGGCCTCTAGAGATTGTGCAGCACCAGTGATGCAATCCAAGTCCTGTAAAGAGATGATGCCAACCATAGACAACCTTTAGAGGTTCTCATAACCCTGGACCAGGCTGTATCCTGTGCAGATGCTGTGGCAGTCATTGAGGAGTGGAGAGCATGAAACTGATTCCTAAAAGACAACCAGTGACAGACAAGTCTCTGCATTGATCCTGTGAGCCAGCCTGTACACCTGCCAGTGACCTACTCACACCTGCAGCTTCTCCATGATGAATGTCTAGTGTTCTCCAGTCTTCAGTGACTAGACTGCATCTCTGCACAAGAAGCTTGGCCAGAGGAGAAATGGTTGTGCCCAACTGAGCCTGGTCTCTCAAGGTTTTTTCCTTCACTTTCTTTAATTGGTTAAGTTTTGTTAAGCTGCTTTGAAACAATTTACATTGTAAAAGTATTATAGAAATAAAGGTGAATAGAATTGGGATTTGCAAAGCCTTGGCTGTGAAGATCTGTTCTACTACTTTCCAGAACTTTTTTTTACATTAATGGAATATAAATGGTTGATATACAAGGATACAATGTTACACTCAAGTGAACTGAGGTCAGATGCATGCTCCTGCATGCATTAATTTATAGTTTTATCAAGCAATTTTGTTATTAAAAGGTGCAAAAGTATTCTGACATATATTCCCATACTGGTCCTCATTAAAATGACACCCTAGATCTCTTTTACAGTGAGTCCAGTAGCTTTTATAGTTTGAAAAATCACCAAAGTGTCCTACTGGAGAACTCTAGAGATACTTTCCTCTTTTCATGTTTGTCATATTTAAGAATATTTTGTTTCTAACAGGCTGTGCATTTTGGAAAGATTGCCATCAGCTCTGAAATCAGATAAGTTCTCAAATTCATAGCAAACTTTCAGGGAAGTTCCATTTCAGATGACCTGAAGAAGACCTGAAAATCTGGTTTCACTGTCATGTGCAGACATACTTGTTTGTGTTCAGTTCCTTAGTCACTCTTGGCGAAAGGATTGTAAAACCCTAGGCAAGTTAAATTTTTTTCTTCTCTTTGCTGTTTTTATATTAATCTTCCAGATGTGGTTATGTGTACAAATATACTTGTAATGTCGGATGCTACAGTATGTTGTGTTATTTTTGTATACAGGCTGTAAGTGCCATTTTGACAGCGAGAGATCTATTTTATTTAAATGAATATATTGAATGCTCTATAAGTATTGTTTATCTCTTGATCATGTTAGTAAATACATTAACTAGAAACCTTATAGTAAAGTTTCCATCTGATTTATTATGTAACTGCTTTATTTATTGATTTATTTATTATTTTTATGTTTATTTATTTACTTTTTTTATTGGGAATCCTGGAGTTGCTATATTCTTAAAAACGTTAAAATAGCACAAGAAAAGTCATGTTAGGATACGTACTGTGCACACTCATCTTATCAGGGGGTAGAAGTGATATATAGAGTAGTAATAGTTGTCTGGCAATAACCTCCATACTGTTCTCAATCACCCAAACCTGCAACAAGCCACACATCTTATTATTAATCAGTGAAAGCATTGATTTAGGTCATGTGATATTATGTGGTATGAAGGCTCTTAATTCATAATTTTCACACATGTAGTGTATCACAGTATGAGAGTCCAGTGATAGTCTTCAGGATGTGTATGAGGTCTTCACTTCACCAGCAAAACATTAAGCTCTCCATGTGGCCGCACTCTGTGTGTGTCTGTAAATAAGACAAAAAACAAAAAAATATTGAAATATAACATTTATTTATGCTATTTATTCAGTTCCTGTATATACAAAATATAATGATTATTCAGAAATGTCCTTCCAGTTGTTGTTCTTTCTGTGGCTTGTGAGGGCCCACATACCGTCGAAAAATACAGATTTAGGAATTTATAGTAAATACTATATTGTTTTGAACCATACTATAGGAAAGTCTATTATACTGTATAATGTATTATATTATTTACAATATGATTTGTTAATGAATATAGCATATTGTAGAATATACAATAGTATATTGAATGGAACGTGGATGTCAGTAGCCCCTTTACATATCTTTAGCTTTATTCAAAAAGTCTTCTCAGAGGTTACTTAAAGTTTTGAGAAATGTAGTAAGTGAATTTTAATTTTTGAGTGAATTATCCTTTTAACTAATTTATAAACTGTGATAAATACTGTGATACACCTTATTTTGTTCTACGGTATACAGTATAATCTACAGTATTGTATGAAAGTACAATATTTGTGTTATTATAAATTGCCACAAACCAATCAATCCAAGTACTTTACTATATTGTAGTTCAAAAAGAATAACTAGGCCTATATGGTATTTACTTTAAATTACGACAGTGTTTTTCCAGTCTGATGTTTAGTCTTATTTACCTAAGGTTTCGAGCTAGTCCAAATGCCCATTAGATCATACATCTCGGCCCGCACCCTCAACAGTCCGACCAGCGCTCTTTCATCAGTAGACAGCTAGTATGTTTGTGTACAAATACGAGTCAATGTAGTATGTGAAACAGATAAGTGAAAATAACCCACTGTGAAACTCGCCTCTCTGTTCTGACACAGTTTCAACAGCTTGATTTAAAGTTTGAAATTGGACTGGCAAGAGGGCGCGGTGGCCGCGGTGCGACTGTACTGTACGAGCACACTTGTGTTGTTGGTTTGAGCACTCACGTGATCTGGAAATCAACAAGTATGTCTAATCTTGCATGAGCGGTCTAACCTGAAAAATTAGACGTTTAAAACCTTAACTCATGATTACGCCTTTGGGTTACAGCTGCTGCTTCGTGTAAGACAGAAGAACAACACAAGAAGGCAAGTTTATGCGTAAAATACTTTTCTCCTGTCTTTGCTGTTTTCAGATGAACCTCTCAGGTATCTTCTTTTGAGTCCAAATCGAATGACTTTTAAAGTTAACCAAAATGACGCTGATTGTTTTACTACTGCCAGCGATATATTAATTTAAGTGTGAAATCTACACAGGTATATATAAATGTTTAAGCTGAATTTTCGTTGAGATAAATAGATATATTGAAATTGAATGTTCGTCACTCTTAAAAAATGTAACAAATTCATGAAAGATTCCTATTACGGAAATTCATTATGAAAGTGAAACAGTCAAATGTTTAAATATGCGTGTACAGATACAGGTACATGTTTTGTTTATACAGTATCAGTAATTTGTGACGGATTGAGCTTTTTGAGTTGGTTATTTCAACTCAAACAACTGAAAACGCGTAATCCATTACATATTAGGCCTACTGATACGTACAATAAAACAGGTAGTAGGCTATACACGCACCATAAAACTGTTTTAATATTACAAAGAAAGAACAGATGGAAAATTTATTTGACAATACTTTTACTTGAATAAACAACCCAAAAAATAAAAATGCTTTTAATACAGTGATGAACCGGGCCGCCTGTAAGGGGCAGTGATGCGCTTTTACACGTTGAATTATTATGTATATGTTATATAATGCATTTTTGTGACGTCACCTAAATAATAAAAATACTGAAATAGGCATTATTTGAAATTATTTTACTTTTTAAAGTGATAAAACATGATTTATCTTTTAAAGTTTTGCTTACTAAAACTGTAAACAGATAAGAAAAGTGCCAATTTTCATTTATGCATTTGTGTAGATTGACTCGAATCGAATGCATATGAATGATTTAATTGATGATGTTTTTTTAATTGCCTGAATGTAGCAAAGAAATATTAAAACCGTGTGATGAGTGAATTATATTTTTACTTTATTAAGTTAATGCCTTTTTTGAAATATAAATGTTTTGTTATAATAACAAAGAACTCTTGGATTTGAAGGAGTTTTAAAATTTTCTGAATACATAACAAATGAACCTTTCTGTAATGGTTATCTGCATAGATTAAGTAAGTTTTCATATGTTAAATGCTTAATACAAGACTACATTTTGTCTCACACTTTGATTTTCTCTTATCCCCAACAATAATACATTTTGAAACATTTATTGATGTTTTCCATCGCAGAAGTCCAGAGATATTAAAAATGGCTGAAGCTGAAGAAGTGTCAGAAACCACCCAAGGCAAGTAAAACAATGGCTTGTTTTTCTGAATTGACTTCATTGCCATACATTCAAACTTCAAAAATAACAAACTTGTTTCATCTTTAGAGCTGTCTCTTGTTTGCCCATCTGACATTGTGTTTTGCGACTCTGGAGAAGATGTTGTTCTGTTGTGTCGTCTTGATCCATCTATCAGCGCTGTTTCAATGGAGATCATGTGGAAGAATAAGGCTGATTTAATCTGTCATTATAAAAATGAACGGGTGATAGAGAACTATGAGGGTCGAGTGAGTCTCTCAGTGGATGAACTATGCAATGGAAATGTGTCTTTGACTCTGAGAGACATTAGGAGATCACAGAGGGGACTGTACATTTGTGAGGTCATCCATAGATGTCAAACATTAAAGGAATACATTTTTCTAAATATCAGCTGTAAGTATTCGTCGTGTAAGTATAAAACTGAAATTAGTAAAATTCATTTTTTTTTATTATCATTAACTAAAATAATTACCATAAACAAGACTGAAAAATGTTACCATACCGAAATAGTTCAACTAAAAAAAAAAAAAAAGATAAATGCAGCTTTAATTTTCATTTTAATATGACTATGGTTGCAATTTGATAATATTAATGGTTATGACAATTCATTTTTCTGCTCAGCTGAAGACTTTAATATTGTGGTTCCTACTGACCCTGTGATTGCGGATCCTGGAGATGATGTCACCTTACCTGTTCATCTCTCACCTGAAACCAGTGCTCTGTCCATGACAATTAGATGGTACAGAGAGACAGAGCTCATTTATCATTTTAAGAGTGGTCAGGAGGAAACACACGGTGCCTATGAGAGCCGAGTGAGTCTGTCCATCCAGCAGCTGAGGAGAGGAAATGTGTCTCTGACTCTGAGAAATGTTCAACAGTCTGATTCAGGAGACTACACATGCAAAGTTTCTCATGAAGGATGTCTGCAGAGGGGGAAAGTTCACCTGCAAGTGACAGGTAGTAAAACTAGTGGTGAAACTTCTAGTTTGTAATATTTCTTTAGATTACAGGCTTGCCATTACTGAGAAAACCTAGCTGGCACAATAAATACTATGGATTTAGTAAACGTTATATATATATATATATATATATATATATATATATATATATATATATATATATATATATATATATATATATGTGTGTGTGTGTGTGTGTGTGTGTGTGTGCGTGTAGTTATTTATATATATATATATATATATATATATATATATATATATATATATATATATATATATATATATATATATATATATATATATATATATATATATATGTAGATAGATAGATAGATAGATAGATAGATAGATAGATAGATAGAAACTGACAACTACGTAAAATACTTCAGTTTTCTTGTGAGATCAGGCTGGATAGATAGATGGATAGATGGATGGATGGATATTTAAATATGACTGTTAATGGTTTCACACTGATCTTTGGTTTATTTTAGAGCTTGAGATGTGTGAAAATCTTTCAAAATACAGACCGATGCCCGAAGTCGAACAACTGTTGCAAAGGATCTTGCCGTTTGACCATGATAGCTTGACACTAATAAAAAGTGTGAAAGGTTTGCTGGATGAAGTGGAACAAATAATTGATTGTAAGTTTGAGAGACAAAAAGGAGCATATTATGTTCTCCAGATTATGAAGAACATTATGTGCGAGTTGTAAAATTGTTAGTGTAGTCATAAAATATTAAAATAAAATAGTGAAAAATATCAAAGGGGGAAGTTTAGAAACAGTCTGTAATTATGTTTGTTTTCTTTTCAGTTGGAGATTCAACATATAGCCACATAATCAGACAACGACTTCATCCGAGCATTGGTAAAAGATTACTTTGAATGCTACATGTGGCTTGTGTGTAGTTAATTCTAATCTGAAAGTGTTTAAGGATATTCAGAGAATGCTACTTACAATTTTACCATGTTATTTTGACTGAAATGTTAAATTATACAGTTTTTTTTTTTTGGTTTCTTGTTATTTCACACAGTGGATGAAGACGTTAGAAGGCGGTGGAAAGAGTTAATGGAAATATTCAGGCAATCTCAGGAGCATCTCAGACATCTGATGTTTTTGTCTCACCCAACGACAGAAGGCAAGAATTGTTTTGGAAGTGATTTGATTTATTGTTATGAAAATATTAAACTGAATATGAATGTTAATAAACTAAATGGTTTGAAACAGTAAGGGGGAAATTTAAAGACTTTTCAGTTGAATATCGTTTAAACTTTGGATGGATTCCAACACAATATAACTTTCATGTTTACACAGAGATGCATATACAGTATGTAGGCTTAGGGATGATACCCAAAAATGAAAATTCTGTCATCAATTACTCTTTCTTTTGTTTTAAACACGTCAGACAAAGTAAGATATTTTGAAGAAAGCTGGAAACCTGTAACCATTGACTTCCATAGTATTTGTTTTTCCTTATATGGAAGTCAATAAGGATATTCAGAGAATGCTACTCACAATCTTACCATGTTATTTTGACTGAAATGTTAAATTATACAGTTTTTTTTTTTTTTTGGTTTCTTGTTATTTCACACAGTGGATGAAGACGTTAGAAGGCGGTGGAAAGAGTTAATGGAAATTATTAGGCAATTTCAGGAGCATCTCAGACATCTGATGTTTTTGTCTCACCCAACGACAGAAGGCAAGAATTGTTTTGGAAGTGATTTGATTTATTGTTATAAAAATATTAAACTGAATATGAATGTTAATAAACTTAATGGTTTGAAACAGTAAGGGGGAAATTTAAAGACTTTTCAGTTGAATATCGTTTATACTTTAGATGGATTCCAACACAATATAACTTTCAGGTTTACACAGAGATGCATATACAGTATATAGGCTTAGGGATGATACCCAAAAATGAAAATTCTGTCATCAATTACTCTTTCTTGACTTGTTTTAAACACGTCAGACAAAGTAAGATATTTTGAAGAAAGCTGGAAACCTGTAACCATTGACTTCCATAGTATTTGTTTTTTCTTATCTGAAAGTGTATAAGGATATTCAGAGAATGCTACTCACAATCTTACCATGTTATTTTGACTGAAATGTTAAATTATACAGTTTTTTTTTTTTGGTTTCTTGTTATTTCACACAGTGGATGAAGACGTTAGAAGGCGGTGGAAAGAGTTAATGGAAATATTCAGGCAATCTCAGGAGCATCTCAGACATCTGATGTTTTTGTCTCACCCAACGACAGAAGGCAAGAATTGTTTTGGAAGTGATTTGATTTATTGTTATAAAAATATTAAACTGAATATGAATGTTAATAAACTTAATGGTTTGAAACAGTAAGGGGGAAATTTAAAGACTTTTCAGTTGAATATCGTTTATACTTTGGATGGATTCCAACACAATATAACTTTCATGTTTACACAGAGATGCATATACAGTATATAGGCTTAGGGATGATACCCAAAAATGAAAATTCTGTCATCAATTACTCTTTCTTTTGTTTTAAACACGTCAGACAAAGTAAGATATTTTGAAGAAAGCTGGAAACCTGTAACCATTGACTTCCATATTATTTGTTTTTCCTTATATGGAAGTCAATAAGGATGTTCAGAGCATGCTACTCACAATCTTACCATGTTATTTTGACTGAAATGTTAAATTATACAGTTTTTTTTTTTTTGGTTTCTTGTTATTTCACTCAGTGGATGCAGACGTTAGAAGGCGGTGGATGGAGATAATGGAAATATTCAGGCAATCTCAGGAGCATCTCAGACATCTGATGTTTTTGTCTCACCCAACGACAGAAGGCAAGAATTGTTTTGGAAGTGATTTGATTTATTGTTATAAAAAAATTTATTCATTCATTCATTTTGTTTTCGGCTTAGTCCCTTTATTAATCCGGGGTCACCACAGCGGAATGAGCTGCCAACTTATCTAGCACGTTTTTACGCAGCGGATGCCCAGCTGCAACCCATGACTGGGAAACATCCACACACACTCATTCACACACATACACTATGGACAATTTAGCTTACCCAATTCACCTGTACTGCATGTTTTTGGACTGTGGGAGAAACCGGAGCACCCGGAGGAAACCCACACGAACGCAAGTAGAAAATGCAAACTCCACACAGAAACGCCAACTGACCCAGCCGAGGCTCGAACCAGCGACCTTCTTGCTGTGAGGCAACAACACAACCCTAATTTTACTGGCAGCTCTAATTTTAAATTTTAAAAAATTTAACTAAATAAAGAATTTAATAAACTAAATGGTTTGAAACAGTAAGGGGGAAATTTAAAGACTTTTCAGTTAAATATCCTTTATACTTTGGATGGATTCCAACACAATATAACTTTCAGGTTTACACAGAGATGCATGTACAGTAGGCTTAGGGATGGTTCACCCAAAAATGAAAATTCTGTCATCAATTACTCTTTCTTGACTTGTTTCAAACAAGTCAGACAAAATAAGATATTAAGCTGGAAACCTGTAACCATTGACTTCTATAGTATTTGTTTTTTTCTTAAATGGAAGTCAATGATTACTGGAATTCAGCTTCCTTCAAAAAATACTCTGTGTTAAACAGAAGAAAGAAACAAAAAAATGGACCACCTGAGAGAGCATAAACAAGTAAATTGTTTGGATGATCTTTCTCTTTAAATTTGAGAATAAAAAAGTATTGTTAGCATGGTATAAAACCAGTATTCAAAAAAAAATAAAGTTTCAAGAGTTTACACTTAGCTGATGATTGATTATAAGCAAGTTTGGCATGCTGTCTCAGGAGAGAGCTCTGAGCTCAAAAGGTCCTTGAACCCTGGGTTCCCTCCTGTTTGCAGGGCGAGAGGGGAGCTTTGAGCTCAGGTAGATTTAGACAACTCCCCAAAATGCTTTGCTCTGGACAGCAGCCACGTATTTGAAGAACCCCCCAAAAGGCAATAAATATTAATGCAACATCCGGCTGCTGGGTATAAAGTGTTAAAAAGGTGATACTAGAAAAGGCTTGTAGGCGTAAAATATGGGACCAGTGCAGGTGTAAATGGTAAGATAAAAGTGGTCACAGCTTCTGAAGTGGTGTACGGGCAGACAGAATATATACAACTATGTGTGCTCCCGTGGCAGTGTTTAATCGCATTGACCGGGTGGTAGAGTGTGGTGAATGTAATGATTTAAAGCAGGTTTGCGTAAGCTCTGTTAGAGAGGCTTACTATGGCAGTGGTGAAATGTAGCTATAAAGTTCAGCTGTGTCTTTTCTGCTGCAGAGGTGGGGTGAGTGTCAGTATCATGGAAATATTGAAGGGTAACTTTGTGTCCACAGAGGTGTTTTAACTACTGTGGCAGAGCTTAGTAGTGTATCAGTATGAAAAATTGGAAGTGGATATGAGCTTAGGCAGAGCGTCACTGCTCCAGCAGTGGTGCAGAGGGGAATTAAGCTCAGCGGAGTGTCTCTGCTGCTGCAGAGATGCGATGGAAGTCAATATTGATAGGAAATTATGCTTCTGCAGTAGTGAATGACTAAATGGAAGTGTATCTGAGCTCGGGCAGAGCCTCACTGTTACGGCAGTGGTGCAGATAAGGAATGAGGCTCAGCGGAGCGATGTATGCTCTCACAGGAATGTTAAGATGGAAGTGTATAGGAACTCAGCTAGAGTGACACTGTTGCTGCCGTGTTGCGATGAGTGAATATAACTCAGCGGATTAGAGAGTTTTGTGATCTCCTGCAGGAACATTGGTTCCTGTCAATAATAGTATGGGTATGAGTTCAGCTAGAGCTACATTGTTGCTGCAGTAGTGCAATGTGTGAATGTAGCTCAGTGGAGCATCTAGAGTGTCGTTACTCTGTCATCACTGCTGTGGCAGTGGGAGCTTGGGGCTACCACTGTGTCAGTTGCAGAACTGAAATGAAAGTCTGTGGTGCAGAGAATTTCAGCTAAGCGGGGCATCCCTGCTGCAGTGGTACAGATCATAGACTGTAAAACATATGGACGTAGTATTCGTTACGTCACCCATAGGTTTCTAAAAAGCGCAAAAGAAGCCACAAGTAGGAGCGGCCAACCGTCGCCATTTTGTTCGCGCGTCATCACACCCACGGCAGGATACCAAACAAGGGCAAAGAGTGAGCTGAGCTACAGACACCTGCTGGCATTTAGCTTGAACCTGGTTTAGACACACTTTACTTTGGGAGAACGCTTAATACTTTATCACCTGCGACTCATTTGTATTCTGACCACTTGTGCTTGGTTGTACAGTATATCAATAAAGAGTTTAGACTTTTAAAAACACTGCTGTAATACATTGAGCCACTAAAAATTGTTCTTATGACGTTTTTCAACAGGAGGAAAACGCAAATTACTTTCAAACACTTCAGATATAGTCTGTGTTAGTTAATGTAAGACTATTGATGAAATCCAGCATAACACTGTATGACAACGCTTCAGATGACTGTTCTAGAGCCTACAGCTAATCAATCTGACAGATTCTGCAGTGCATTACAGCTCTAAATATAAATATAAACCATAAATGATCTATAATAAAACAAATACATGTATAGAGATGGTATATAAGTATATAACTTTACTCACATGGGAAACGGAGGCCCCGTGAATGGTTTGTGAGCTTAATTAAGTGCTCTCAGCATGCCATGCCATCTAATAATTGTAGGAAACAAGTCCAAAAGGCAGCTGACTGTGTAAAGCCACTTAAAACAACACAGAAATACGATAAATATGCCGAGATCAGCGGCTAATCTGCAGGATTCAGCTGAGGTGACGTGACGACGACCAACGAGACCTAGCTGTCACTCAAGTGGCCACGCCCTTAATTATGCAAACTTAATATAACCTAATATAAAGGAAACGGATGAGTTATAAAAAAAAAATCACCCCCCTCTTAGTTGTCATGAAGGGTAATATTAGCTGTATTACCAAAATCTTTTTTGTACCAGGCTGTAAACACCGTTTTTTTCTGCTGTAAAGTTGGCCATTCGAACAGTGGGCTCAATTAAAATGTGCTCTGTTTTGGAGCCAGGACTAGCTGAATTTCGGATGAATTGCAGTTTTAGTTACTTCCGTATTGGCTTCCTGAGAGAGAGCGGGAGATTGCCGCTTGGTGCAGATGGAGAATAAGGCTCGCCAGAGCATCTCTGCTGTTGCAGAGGTGCAGTAGTAATCAGTATTGGAGCCTTATAAGTGCTCCCGCAGGAATGTTAGATACTGTCAGCAGTGATATGCAGCAAGGTTATAATAGTTTTGGATTTTTCATTAGTTTTAGTTTCTATTTCGTTTTGACTTTTTATTTTCAAATTCAGTTAGTTTTAATTAGTTTTAGAGGTAGATTTCTTAGTTTTTATTAGTTTCTATATTTTAAAAATAGTTTTAGTTTAGTTTTTAATAGTTTCAGTATTAGTTTCAGTATTTTCTAAATGAGGATATTTGTTAGGTGCAAGATTCAAAAGCAACAGTATAAATATTGTATAATTAAAACTCAGCCATACATTTTTTGAAACATGTATTCAGAGGACACATGAACCCTATTATCTACCACAACCATCTACCCATCCTCAAGTTAGACACACAGTAGGGATGGACAGGCCCGGATTAGCCTATGGGCATTACAGGCACAGGCCCAGGGGCCCGTCCGCACTTAGATTTTGCCTACTCTTCATCACGAGAAAGACAAGTGGGAATCATTAATAAGTGTGTGTATTATGGAGAACTCAGATTCCTAGAAATGGATTGGAGAGGTGTTATCCAAATCATGTGCATTATAAGTTTGTAGAAGTTATACATTAAAAATACCCTTAAATAAAAATTTTAGTAGTGCTTCAGTGAACTTGAACAAGTATATTAAAATCCATTAATTTCCCCTAGTTGTAGACTATTAGTATTTTTTTTTCAAATTAAATGCTTTAAAAATACGTTAAATCTTTGTACTAAAAATATATGCACTGTATATAAATTATTTTTTAAAATGTGGGCAATACATTATAGGTTAATTTTGTTTAACAAATATTATATTAATCTTATTTTTTAATTTAACTATAGGGTGCGGCTGTACTGTTTTTGTTTGGTTCACTGAATCACTCATGCGCAGTATTACCGGTTCACCGCTTCTCAATGTAACGTTGCTGTTCTAATAAGTGAATGCGAGTATATATTGGATTATTTAGAGTCAGAGGGGGTATTAGGCTTGTTATAAAGTAAGAAGTGGGTGGTTAAGTGCTTACTGGAGACGAGAATCTTTTCAAATGATTTATTTCGATTTGGTGAACTAGTTCAACCAGTTCACTTAGAAGATCCGGTTAAAAAGATTCGTTCGCGATCGCGATACAGAAATAAAACCCATTATTGGGCACAAACATGTTAAAGTAATACTTTTAAGTCTCTTTATTTAATGCTGTCACCTTGCTGCTGTCATGTCCACTCGTTGCTTTTGTCGCAAGAGCAACAGCGAGGATGACTGGAGGAAAGCAGACTCGATCTGGCCAATGGCAGCAGGAGACACTGAGGTGCGAAAGGGTCAAACACAAACACCTGCAGCGCGGATTATATTTACTTCTAAAAGACTTACAGTAAGATTATGTATTAAATACATTTACAAACATGAAAATGAGGGAGGTTTTTGCTATCATTTTAGTTAGTTTCAGTTAGTTTTGTATGTACACAATACAGTTTCAGTAAGTTCTAGTTTTTGAAAAAACTCGCGTTTTTATTTTTATTTCAGTTAACGAAAATTATTTTAAATTTTAGTTTTCGTTTTTTGGTTAGTTTTCGTTAACTATAATAACCTTGATATGTAGAGATGAAAGTG